AGCTTAGAGAAAGTTACTTAATTACAGAAAGTGAGTTTGTGAGGGGTTGGAAAGATGGCTCAGTCAGTAAAGTGTCTGCTCCATGAGCCTCAGGACCTGAGTTCGAGTCCCAGCAGCCATGTAAAAGTTGGGACACACTTGTAATCCCAGTGCTAGAGAGGTGGAGACAGGAAAACCCTCAGAGCTTCTGAAAAACACATGGTGGATGGCTCCTGAGGCTGGCCTCTGGCCCCTACATACATGCATACACACGTAAACATATACCTACACACACACACACACACACACATCCCCCACACACACACTCCATACACATATCCATACACACACATACACACAATACCCCACACACAAATATCTCTCCCCCCACATACCTCACACACACATTCTCTCTCTCTCTCTCTCTCTCTCTCTCTCTCTCTCTCTCTCTCTCTCTCTCACACACACACACACACACACACATACACACACACACACACACACACACACACACACACACGCACCACATACACTCCATATACACACAGAGTAAATACATGTAGGCTAAGAAAGAAAATGTTTTAGGTGTAGTAGCTTGTGGGCTACAGCAGCATGTCATAAATCTGCCCATTTTCTGGATTATCGGGAAAGCTTGGCTTTCTGCTTCTTTCTCACCTCCTCTAAGTGTGCTTTCCTTAGCACTTTGGGCACGTCTCTCAGCATTTGGGCTTCCTTATTTTCTCCCCCCCAGCATGCAGCTTGTCAGCCATGTGCCTCGCTGCCGTGTGGGCTTAAACGGTGTGGCCTTTTCCTTTCTCTCCCTCATTCTCTCCTGGGCAGCAGCTCACCTGCCCTGGGGTTTATCTCTAAAACTCTGATAAAATTGTTCTTATGTATCCAAATTATAATTTAAATATATTAACCATAAGGTCAATGGGTGGTGGTCTGAAGGTACCATCAGCATCCTCTGACGAACGTTGGGTGTGTCTGCTAAGGTGTTCTCTGCAGCCTCCGGCTTCTTCCCTCTGCATGACTTCAACCTCCTACAACTGCAATCAAATGATGTAGACGATGACAAACATCAATAAAATCAGCTGCTCCTGCTACGAGCCCCTGGGGTTCAACAGCACCCCTCCCCTGTACCTTAAGCTTGTTACAAGAGCAGAATCCAGCCTGTGAGAGTCACGGGGAGGGATAAGCTAGAATCTTAGAGGGGATTTGTGTTGCCAGGTAACCCTGCTGCCCAGAACAGACTGAGGAACCCAGTCCCCACCAAGTTACGAAGACTGGAGGGTAGCTGAGCCCTGTGGTACTTTTTTGGCCTGTAATCTCAGCTACTTGAAGGACTGAGGCAGGAGGATCACAAGTTTAAGGCCTGCCATGACTATACAGTGAGTGCAAATCAAGAGGGCTCAGGGGCAGAGCACTTGCCTGGCAAGTGTGAAGCCCTCAGTTCAATCCCGAGTACCACAAAGGGAAAAGTGCAAACAGGTCCAAATGCTGATTCGGATCAATTTTTCCACCCAATAAACCATCCACACAAGGAATCAAAACAGAAAACAGGTGTGGCGGGTGTGTGTGTGTGTGCGTGCACGCGTGTGCATGCATATGTGTATGCCCTCTTGAGCGCAATCTGACCCAGGACCTGGGCTGCTCTCAGCCTTGGTCACAGAAGCTCCAGTGGGCAGCAGTCAGTGCAGTCTCCTAAGGAAAGCGCTGTGAGGAGGAGACCCAGTGCTCAGCTCTAAACGGGACCACCCCGCACTCTGCACCGAGGCTCAGGGAACACTGCAGAAGAGGAGGCAGGAAGAGTGTCAGAGCCAGAGGGTGGCGGGCACACTGTGAAATGATGACTTTGGACATGGCACAGCCTGTGCACTCAGGAACTCACAGCAGCTGTGGTTACCTGAGTAAGACCCGCACAGGGTGGGTGAGGGAGCGCTCCAAACCCCACCCCTCACTGAGGAACTGCTGGCAGCTGCTGAAGGCGAACTCCTGCAGTGTGGGGGCACTGGTAGGTTTCCCATGCTGCACTGGATGGTCCCACACTCATGCACACGTGGGCAGCACTAACTAGATTCAGTGGATTATCAAAAGAAAAATTGGAAGGGGAGGTGTTGGCGAGAAGGATAAAAGGTAAGTCAGAAGAGGGAAATGAGGAGTATGTGTGTATGGAATTCTCAAATAATAAAAACACTGAAAAAAGAAAAGCCATGTTTTTAACTCATGTTGTTAAATGTGAAAAATCTAAATGACAGATGTCATAATGATAAGGACGGTCATTTAAAATGTCAACAAACAAGAGTGGTAGCATACATCTGTAACCCCAGCACTTAGGATGCAGAAGCATGAGGATTACCATGAGTTCCAGACCAGCCTAAGCTGCAGAAAGAGACCCTGTCTCAACAAAAACTTACATACCATATGCCAGGCACATGGGACATTGAGGTTTTGGAGAGGAACTGTGGACAAGGGACTCAAACAAGGACCAGAAACTGGTGTATATTTGAACCCAAGTCTATTTTTGGAGGCCATGTGAGTTTTTTTTTGTTATTGTTGTTTTTGTTTTTGGTTTGGCTTGGTTTGATTGATACTATGTAGCCCCGGATGGCCTGGAACTCACTATATAGTCCACACTGGACTTAAACTCACAGAAACCCTCCTGATTCACCTTCTCAAGCACTAGAATTGCAGTCCTGAGCCACTGTGCGCACAGTAGAGACCATGATTTTATCACGGCACTTTGTCACTCAAAATTGGAGGACAGAGAGCCAGGGCAGTATCAGGCAAGTTCTGTCAACCCAAAGGCCATCCTCTCAAGACTGAGTTCACCAAAGCAAAGAGTGCTCTTCACAGACCACAGTGAACCGATCCGAGCTTCAGAGGCTGACACCCCCGTTTCCTCCCACTAAAGAATCCCTGGCAGAACATGTCCCTGTGAAGAGCAGGGCCAGCCACTACAGGGAGAGGCACAGGGTGTTTGGAGGTGGGATATCCTGCACCCTGGTCTGTGCAAGCTCACCCCTAGTGGACTGAAGTCTCAGTGGGATGGGTACAAATGTCATGAGATCGTTCTGTGGATACGGGTCGTTGCCACCAAACCTGACAACCTGAGTTTGATTCCCCTCGAAACTCGCATGGTGGAAGGACAGAACTGACTTCCACAAGTTGTCCTCTGAGCTCCACATAGGCACCACCGAGGCACACATGGGTACATGTACATTCACACAATAAATAGTTATAATAAAATTTTTTTAAGCCGGGCAGTGGTGCACGCCTTTAATCCCAGCACTCGGAAGACAGAGCCAGGTGGATATCTGTGAGTTCGAGGCCAGCCTGGTCTACAGAGCAAGATCCAGGACAAGCATCAAAACTACAAAGAGAAACCCTGTCTTGGGAAAATATATCTATATCTATATCTATATAGATATAGATATATCTATATATCTATATATATCTATATATATATCACTGCCCTTCCACAAGCCTGTTCTGTGCACCTTGAAAACCCACATGTTAGATAACCAGGCGTTGTTATCAGGCACCATAACTGCCACAAGAGTAACAATTCCCAGGAAAGAACTTCACAGCTACACTCTGAGACTCTACTTACCAGTAAGCCGCAGAAACTATAAAACAGCAAGTACTTTCAACCCAAGAGAGCCATCCCCGACAGCCAGCTGGGAACCAACTCAGGCCAATTCTGAATGGCTGCATCTCAGCGGCCCTTGTCTGCAAAGTTCTCTCTCCATTAAGTTCAATATTCGCCATCAGCGTTAACGTCAGCCTTTCTAACGAGGGCTAAGACTGGCATACAGTTTCTTTTAACTTCATTAATCCGTTAGTGAGATTGAGAATGGAGCCCCTAGGCCCCCGTCTTTGGACTCACGCTCTCGTCAATATTCTTGGCGACCAGGACATTTCCCCTCTCTTTCCTGATAAAGGAACTTGACAGAGGCCATGAAACAAACTTTAACGGAAGAAAGAGATGCTTTCCTATTCTTCTATTTCTGAACGGAATCTGGACTAGATTGTGGCCAACATACGACACCGACTTCCGAGGAACAAGCTTTTACTTCTCACCGCTCATTCGTTCTGGCAGGATTCCGTGGGTTATTTTTAGCAATTTTAAATTGCCCTTTTTCTTTTTCTACTATCCCATTTTTTTCTTTCTTTTGAAGGAAAGAACAGAGAGGGAGGGAGAGAGAGGGGGAGGGGAAGAGAGAGAGAGAGAGAGAGAGAGAGAGAGAGAGAGAGAGAGAGAGAGAGAGAGAGAGAGAGACTAAGCTAAAAAGAAGTGAGGACTCTTGACTTGAGGCTCTTAAATAGCATAGACCATTGCCTCTACTGCCCCGAACGCTAATAGCGCGCACACCCCAGGAGGGCATGGTACACTTTGGGGGGCTCTGTCAGCCAGTGCCGGAACCCCACAAGTTCTTCGCATGCTCAGACCAGCCAGCCAGACAAAGACCGCAAGTGCCCCGGCCGACGGCTCCAGACAGGCGGGGACCGAGTCTCCTCCAGCTGGGCCCACTCCCAGAACACGGAGTCTCAAACGCCGAGGATGGAGTCCCCAGGACGTCCCTGGTGAGATCCGGGTTCCTTCGCATCGCCCCCGCCCTGCGCCCAGCGCCGATCGCACCCCCCCTCAGCCCCTCCCGGGCCCCCGCGCTGCAGGCCCGCGTCCCGCGCGTCCAGATTCCAGCGCACCCAGGGACCGCCACGCCGTTCCAAGTGGACCCCGAAACCCCCGGCCCGCGATCCCAAACGAACCCTGATACCCACCCGGGTCCCGCCGCGAGGGCTGGACTCGCGCCGGCTCCAGGAGCCGCCGCCACCACAGCCGCCACTGCCACAGCCGCCGCTAGCGAGGCGCGGCGGGGAGGGGATGTGGAGAGGCCCGGCCCTCGCTCCGCCCCGGCTCCGCCCCAGGACCCGCCCAGGCCCGCGCAGCCAGGAACGCTGCTCCCTGTCTCCAACCCACGGGCGCCCCCGCGCACCGGACAGCCCCTGCTCGGGGTTCCCTGCTGGCTGCATCTGCAGGTCCTGCCGCGCTCCTGGTACCCGTGACGCTGCCCTAGATGGGAGCCCTGCGCCCCTGGTCCGGGAGGCAGAGCCTTCCAGTGCCCACGTGTGCGCTCACCCCCTGCATTCCTATTTCTCAATTTTGGGGGTAAGAAGGAACGATGCCCACTAAAAGGGCACTGAGCCTCCCTCTCTGCCAACGACCCCTCGAAAGGACCCCGTGGTCAGGGTTCCTGAGTACCCCAAGGCTGGAGATAGAAGAGCCAGAGCCAAGAGAGTTTCCCGGATCCGGCGTCCCCACCCAGCCCGCCACCCTCGGAGCCCCTGCCCATCATCAGGTTCGAAGGTACTCAGTTGGATGTATTTTAGCACTATCGTCACGCTAAAGGAACTAAGTCCTGGCAGGAAAGGCTCGGACAATGGCGATGGACAAAACACACATTTGTACTTTACTGCTTTTGCATGGTGTTTCTGTAAGAACTGCAGGACGCAGCCAGGCCCCGCCTCCTGCGGTCTTTGAGCGCGTGGTCCGGACTTCGCCGGATGTTTGATGGCGTCGCCTAGCAACGAGAGATGGCGGAGCCGGAGGACCAAGCGGACGGGTAAGCCCAGCCAGAGGAATAATGGATCCACCAGACGTTTTCCCTGGCTTTCTGCACGCAGGTGCCCCCACCCCACGCGCCTTCCCCCTTCACTTCTGTACCCCTTCCCATTCTCCTCCACATTTTCTGGACCTTTCCGACCCTCTCCGGCCCCACCCTGCCCCCATGTCCCTTCTCTCTTTCACCTCCTGCCCTTTGTCTTTTCCTGGCCCCCACCCCACCCCCGCCCATTCCCTACTCCTAGCCTCTGCTTCTCCTAGACTATAGATTTGCACACACTGCGGTAACCATGGCAACCACCGTGCTTGATAAGCCAGGCTACAAAGCGGGGCATGGATAAGATGCTGTCCAGTATTGCTGGAGTTGGGAGGAGAGGGGAGGAGCGCTGGCTCAGATGGGGATTGGGCCAGGCTCATGCCTCCCTCCTGTAAGAATGGATCCCTCCGTCGTGGACTTGAGGGATAAGCAGATCGCCGGCACTGAGTGCACCCAAAAAATGCTGCTGCCAGCTCTCTTTTAGGTTTTGTGTAAAACAGAAGGGAGTTTAAATAATTATATTTGCTTAGACACTTCTGGGTTTTTTTCATATTTCTAAAGGTTACGTCTCTGTGTACTCCCATGGAAACACATCCAGATTATATCACAGGATAAAGCTAGACATGAAACAGTAGGTATAGAATGAGCCCCAATTTGGGGAAGAATTTAAATGCAAAGATTCTGAACAAAGGCAAACACACCACAGATGCCTGTTACGGTGGCCGCCTTGGGCAGCAGAGGGGAAATACCAGGCATTTTCATGTCTGCGAAGCATATATCTATATTACTTTGATTTTAAAAAGTTAGCTTAGTTTGTATCTTAAACATTGCACTGGCATATTTGCAGAAGTGTGTGTGTGTGTGTGTGTCTGTGTCTGTGTGTCTGTGTCTGTGTCTGTGTCTGTGTGTGCAGAAGCCAGAGGAGGATGTTGGGTGTCACCCTCTATTGCTTTCTACCTTATCCCCTTGAAGCAGGGTCTTTTGCTGAACCTGGAACTAGCCTGGTGGCCAGCAAACCTCAGTGATCCTCCTGTCTCAAACCCTCATAGCTCTGGAGTTACAGGCACAAGCAACTGTGCCTGGCTTTTATGTGAGCACTGGGGGTCCAGAGTCCAGTCTCTAATCAAGTTTTTAAGAAACACCAAACTATTTTGCATGCAAACCATGGCGATGTTGAGAAGCTGAGGCAGAGTCTGGCATGTTACCCTGTCTCCTGAGACTTTCTCTGCCTTGCCCCAGAAACAGAATAGCTCAGGTGACCTTTCTGGGGTGCCCTCACATGCTTTCTCTTTAATGTTATGATAACGGTGTTTTACCTTCATTCTCATACCAAACTGTGGCCCCCTGACAAGCATGGCCTAGTGATGGGAGAGTTTTGGCTGGCAGCAGGGTGGAGGAGAAGTGGAGGTCATACCAGTGAGCAGCAGGCATGCAGCTTTCGTGATAGGCTGTGAGCTAGCATTTCCTGTCTCTAAAAGCAGGTCACACCTGGAAGAGAAGCAAGCTTCTGCAGAAGAGGAGAAGGAACAGGAGCACACTGAAGACCATGAGGTAACTTCCACCTGGAGACTTAATCTGGGCTCCTGTTTACTAGGAGACAAATAGACAGGATTCCCAGGGTCTGTGGTGCCACGATCGTTCATTCTGACAAACTCCGTTCATGCACAGAGAAACTTACACCCTGTCCTGGTTGTATTCATAAAGCACTCTGACCAAAAGCAACTCAGAGAAGGAAAGGATTTATTTGGCTCATACTTCCAAGTCAGGGCTCATGACTGAGAGAAGTTAGGCCTGCCTGCCTGTTCTTCCACATAGTGTCCCCTCTAACCAGAGAACTCAATCACAGCCAGGAAGTATAGCAAGAACATGGAGGAACACTGCTTATTGGCTCATTCATGGGTTTATGCTCAGGTAGCTTTCTTATACAACCCAGGACCACTTAGCTTGGGGATGGTGCTGTCTGCAGTGTGCTGGGCCCTTCCACATCAATTGATAATCAAGACAATCTCCCAGACAGGCCAGTCTGGTACGGTCAATCCCTTAGTTGAGACTCCCTTCTCAGGTGACTCCAGGCTGTGTCAGGTTGACAAAGATAATTAGGACACACCTCATTCCAGAGTGTTAGCTATCAGTAATGACATATCCAACCTTTAGACCTCCCTGCATTTTCTAGAGTTCGTGCTTGTAATGCAGGACTGTAGAAGCTAGAGTGGTTACCTTGAAGTGCAAAACATCATCGCTTGGGCATGGGGAGTGGGGGGAATGCATGTAGATGTGTCCTTCCTGTCACCCTAACATCTGCCTCTCCTGTCACCCTCACGTCTCTCACTGTTATACTTTCTTCCCTGGGATTTCTTGCCACCCTGGAACAGGTGTCACCACCAATGGAAAACAATGGCCAAGAAATTGATGAGGGTGGAGATGCCACCAAGGGTCCTCAAGAGGGCATTGGGACAGAAGATGAAGGCAGATTTGAAGGAGAAATGGCAGATGATGAGACAGTCGGGACTGAAGGAGAAGCCATCCATGAAGGGGAAATGGAATCCAGTGGAGAGGCTCCCCAAGAAACAGAAATGGAACCCATTGGAGAGAGTGCCCCAGATATGGAAGTGGAATCCATTGGAGAGGCTCCTCAAGAAACAGAAGTAGAATTCATTGGAGAGGCTGCTCCAGAAACGGAAGTCGAATCCCTTGGAGAGGCTCCTCAAGAAACGGAAGTCGAATTCATTGGAGAGGCTGCTCCAGAAACGGAAGTCGAATCCCTTGGAGAGGCTCCTCAAGAAACGGAAGTCGAATCCGTTGGAGAGGCTGCTCCAGAAATGGAAGTCGAATCCGTTGGAGAGGCCCCACCAGAAATAGACATAGAATCCACTCGAAAGATCATAGCAGAAATGGACTTGGACTCCATTGGAGAGGCCATCCTGGGAGTGAACTTGGACTCCATTGAAGATGCCATACCAGAAAGAAAAGTCGAATTTACTGGAGAGGCCATTCCTCAAGGGGATGTGGAATCGACTGGATACACCATCCCAGAAGGGGACCTGGAAGTTTCTGGGAGAGAAGGGTTGGAAGAGTATACGTTCTCTGAGACGGACGAGTTCTCTGAAAGGATCGGCACTCCTGAATTCACCTATTCAGACATCAGTCCCTGGGAAATGACTGAAGAGGAAGCAAATGCTGCCTATCTGTATGAAAGACCCAGATCTGCTGAGGCGTCCCAGAGAGCCTTTGGCACATATGAGACCGTAGAACCCCGAAGGGAGAGCAGGGTAAGTGCCACTTACCGGTTGTTTGCACAAGCCCCTCACTGCTCACGGGGCTCATCACCCTGTGAGAGGAGCTTAAAGGCACGTTATCACCACATCTTAGGGTTTCTACTGGAGAGGAAAGGGTTTACTTGGCTTACACATCCCAATCGTAGTCTGTCCTGAAGGGAAGTCAGGGCAGGAACTAAAGCCGAGGCGAAGGAGGAACCCTGTTTCTAGCTTGCTCCTCTTGGCTGGCTCATGTTGCTTTCTTATAAAATCTAGGACCACCTGCCTAGAGGTACTACAGTCCACAGTTCTCTGAGCCCTCCCACATCAATCATGAATTAAGGAAATGTCCCATAAACTTGGCTATAGGCCAGCCTGTTGGAAACATTTTCTCCAGTGGACAGAAAACCTTTCGCACACACCCTGTTAGGAATTTCTTAGCAAATGTAGGTCAATGCTGAGAAGGCCTAAACCTCACATCCAAGTTGCCAGATGCAAGGCTGGGGACATCCTGTAGCCACCATCCATGCACGTGAGTGCATCCAGGTCTCTGGTCTTCCAAAGCAGTGTGGCCCAAATAAAGGTGGCCACACATCATGGTGGCCACCAGCTCATTTTATGAACACTAGAAATACGAGTAACGAAGGGGGAGGAATTAAATGTCTTAATTATCAAAATTCAAATTAGTTGGGCATGATAGCACTCAGTCATCCCAGCACCCAGAGGGAATGCTGAGACAGGAGGATCTTGAATTCCAAGCCAGCATGGGCTTCTTAAAGAGACCTCATCTCAAACAAAGAAACAAATCAAACTGACTTACATTTAAATAGTCATCTGTTGCTGGCGGCTAACATATTGAGATGTTTGTTTGTTTGGGGGACTAAATCTAGGACCTTGAACCTGCCTCGCCAGCGCCAAAATTTAAAGCAGTTACAAATTTACAGAGGAGAAGAAATGAAGGACAGTAAAAACGTATTTTATTTTCTTAGGTGCCAGAGGTAAGTTTCAAATCTGATTTGTCACCTCCAAATGCTTTTCCGTGTGTTTCTCACAAGGCATCATGCAACCTTTTCCTGGGGAGGCGTCGACAAACGTCTCCTGGCCCCAGACAGTGAACTGGAACAGGCTGAAGTAATGATTCCACCAAAGTCCAATTTGGAGAACCCAGGAGTTTGCTGGGGTCCCTTACTGGAGCCTGGATGACTCAAAAGCAGCTACATCCCCAGAAGCCCAGTTCAGCATCCCTGCAGGGCTTGTAGGCAGGTCACCCTTCCCAGAGTCTCCTCTCCGCAGCTATTGCTATTATTATTACTACCATTATTATTACTATTACTCTCATCATCATCATCATCATCATCCTGCTTACACAATCTTTGGGGCAGGACGCTTTCCTAAACTGCTAAGTTTTATTTACTTAGTGAGTCTCAGAGAGCCTGCCCACAGGAGGGGATGTTTCAGTTCTGAGGAAGTCAGTCCACAGCAGAGAGCTACTGGATGGCTGAGACCGTGAAGCCTGAACTGGGGCTGGCATGTTCAGGGCTCCCGTAGTGGGCTGGAAGACCTGGGTCGGGTCCCCAGCACCACAGTGGGAAAATCTGGCAATTCTACCTCCATCTACCTCCATCATTTCCTGGAAGTTCTCAGGTCTCATTTTGCAACTTACCAAATGTCTAACGGTGACTCTTGTTATCCTTGACTGTCATGGCTTCTCTTTAGTCTCTCCCTGACCTTGAGAAGACCACAGGTCACTTGCAGAGTGGCCCTCTGTGTGGGCTTCTCAGTACTCCCTCCAAGGCCACCTGAGTTTGAGTCCCTGGGCAGAGCCACCCAGGTGATGCTGCGTGCCCCCTGCTCCTGCCTGGTGATGAGGGAGGAGTGGCTTGGTTGGAATTGCTGAGAGAAGGGCGGGCCTCCCTCACAGCAAAGCACTCTTGACCCTTTTGCGTTTAATAGCATTTCATGGGAAGATATTTCCATTGTTCAGAATAGAAAAGTGACTATTTGGAATGAAGGAAAAATCATAGCATGGTTATTATCATTTATCTCATCTTCTGCCCAGCAATGTGCACCGCCAATGTGACTTATCTCTGAGGAATTTCTCAGTTTTGTTTTTCTGAAACAGGGTCTCTCTGTGTTGCCCTGACTGTCCTGGAACTCAGCAGGCTGGTGATTTTTGTTTTTTGAAAAGTTTCTATTTTACGTGTGTGTGTGTGTGTGTGTGTGTGTGTGTGTGTGTGTGTGTGTGTGTTGACTTTTAAATATCTCACCCTATATACTAAATGTTGTTAAGCTCTCCCTTATTCTTTAGTGTGGCCGTGAGGAGAATCCAGTTTTTTTTGTTGTTTTTTTTTTGTTTTTTGTTTTTTGTTTTTGTTTTCAGGGAGATGGTTTATGCCCTGAGAACAAGAGTGGTTAGCTTCTCCTCTCCTGTGCGGTACACTCTCATTCTCTTCCTCGCTGACCGTGTTGGCCAGCCCTCCAGCATGAGGCTGCCGGAGCACGAGAGCTGTATCCACTGCTTTCTCTGCCACTCACTCCTGAGGGTGTTCCCCTGGGGTCTTGCCAGATCCTTTTTATCAGCGTGAGGAGGCTCTTTCCATCCTAGCTTGTTAGATGCCATGGCTTTTTGTTTTATTTATCACTTTGAATTTTCTCAATTTTTTTCTGTGTCTACTGAGATGATTATATGGGATTTGTTTGTTTGTTTTCTAGTTTGTGGATTTGGTAGATAATACTGATAGGTGTGTGTGTGTGTGTGTGTGTGTGTGTGTGTGTGTGTGTGTGTGTCATGTGTGCGCAGGCCCGTGGCAGCCAAAAGTTGATGTCAATCAAGTATCTTCCCATCCATTTACTTCTTTTTTTTTTTTAAAGATTTATTTATTTATTATGTATACAGCATGTATGACCAGAAGAGGGAGCCAGATCTCATTAGGTGGTTGTGAGCCACCATGTGGTTGCTGGGAATTGAACTCAGGACCTCTGGAAGAGCAGTCAGTCAGTGCTCTTAACCTCTGAGCCATCTCTCCAGCCCCCCATTTACTTCTTTATTCATTGAGACGTGTATGGGGTCTCACTGTGTAGTCCTGGCTGGCCTCAAACTCATCCACCTTATTTTTTTTTCAATTTCTATTTTTTAAATTTTTATTTTAAAATTTAAAAAAATTTAAATTAAAATTTATAGATTAAATTAAGTCAAAAACTTAAAATCTATAAAAATTCTATTTTAAAATTCCATTTATTCATTTTTATGTGTATGGGTGTTTGGCCTGTATGTATGTCTGTGTCCCACATGCATGCCTGCTTCCTGTGAAGGCCAGAAGAGGGTGTCTGATTCCCCTGGGACTGGCGACAGACAGTTGTGAGCTGCTGGGAATCGAACCTGGGGTTGTCCGAAAGAGTAGCCAGTGCTCTAACCCCTGAGTCATCTCTCCTTAGTTTTTGAGACAGAGTCTCTCACTGGACCTGGAACTGGCCAGCGAGCTCGTTCTTCCTGTTTCTGCTCCAGCCAGAGCTGGAATTAAAAGTGTGCTCCAGCATGCCTGGCTCTTACTTGGATGCTGGGGACTGAACTCGGGTTCTCATGCTGGCAGCAGGCCAGCTAACTAGCTGCCTCCTGGTTTGTACATGTGAAAGCGACTCTGTGACATGAGACATAGTGGGACCTCTGACGCGTCCACTGCTGACTCAGCTCCGCCTGCGCAGACTCCGGCTCCCACTTCGTTCACTGGGTTATACTCCATTAACGTTATTCATGTTTTTATGCTCCAGTGGTCCTCACTTGGCCAATGGGAGCACATTTACCCTGGTTTTCATGGCCTTTGGACACCCACCCCACCCACCACACCTCATGCCCTGCACTGTTCTGCAGATTTCCAGACCTAGAATCGGACACTTCTGCCTGAGCACCATGTTTATTAAAAGAAAATCAGTTCAGAGATGAAGATCAGTGTACAGAAGTGATAGCTGCTCCTGGGATATCACTGTCCCCTCAACACCCTGGACACAGACACGTGTGGAGATGTACATTTATGGCTGTGTTTACAGGAGCACACACATATATACAGGCGTAATCAGTGTCAACACTTATGGGGACTTCCCCTGACCACAGTGCTGAGAGGCCTGGCCCCTTCCTCTGACTGTAGTGTGATCAATGTCCCACAGACTCCAGCCTTCTGAACTCTCCCATCCCTACTGCAGCCTCTCTCCTGGCCCAGTCCCACCGGGGCTTTGAGTGAGAATTGCTCTGGAAGCAGAGAGGGCGGGGAAAAGGATGGGACACTTTCTGTGCATGAGCCCAGGCTGCGCACAGTGCCATCCCCTGATGCTGTGTCTGTGCCATCGGATCCAGACAACAGCCTTATGGGGTGGGAGCCCTTGTTGTCTTTACTGTGCAGATACAGAAACTGGAAGGTGGGATGGAGAGATGGCTCAGTGGTTAGAGCAGTGGCTGCTCTCACAGCGAACCCTGGTTCAATTCCCAGCACCCACATGGCGGCTCACAGCCACCTGTAACTCCAGTTCCAGGAGGATCCAATGCCCTCTTCTGGCCACCACGGACACTATACACATGTATGCATAGACATGCATACATGCAGGCAAAACACCAAACATATTTTTATTATTATTAAAAATGAAACTGAGGGGTAAGGGGCCTTCCCTGCCCAGGGCCTCACCACTGTCATGGCATACGGTAGCTTTTGCTCTGAAGCCACTGTCCTGAACTACAAAGCAATGGGCCCACCTCCTCCCCAACCCTGTGAAAGCTAAAAGATTCCAAAGTTTGGAGGACAGCGGCATGCCATGTTTGATGAACCCTTGTCATACTCTACGATCAAACCCACTCCTACAGGCTGCACTGTGGTTCCATGGTAAAGTGCCTGCCTGGCTACTGTGAGGACCTGGGTTCAAACGCCAGCATGGCAAATGAACAAAATCAAAACCCCACGTTTTGTGAATTTAAAGAGGAGAGCAACAGCTGAGCAATGTCTTCTCCTTTGTGGGGGTGACCTGCAAGTCACTTGTTCTAGTTACCCAGCTTCCACCCTTGGGTCCAGTTTCTAGAAAATTCACTGAAACTAAGGTTTCAAAGATGGTCAACAAGAAGGCAGAGATACATCCTAAGAGAGTCCTACCCTTCTGCCTTCTGGCTCTCAGCCTGGAGAAATACGGGCAGTGGGAGGAACTGTTAGGGGTCAGTGTATGCGTAGACACCCCATTAGATTTTCATTAGAAGCCCTTCCGGGAGACTTTGGCCTCTGTGCCTTCCATAATGGCCATTGGGATCTGGGTGCCTCAGAACTAACTTTACAGAGTCCACCTAGTCTGAAGGTACAGTGGGAAAGGGCATGGGCACACATTTACGTGAACCTTTAGCTTCTGCGGATCTGTTTCGCCTCCCCTACTTCGTGGGGACATGGGGCTTGTGGCCAGAGATGATAGTCGTACTTGATTCTTGGCAGACAAGATAGCGAAGCCCTGTCTCGCTGGTTTCTGGGCCGGTATTTACCTCAGCAACAGGAGTAAGGACAGCCCATCCCAGTAATTGCAGCAGTCCCTTCAAAAGCTAAAAATAAAGCCTGGGGTGGAAGCACAGGCATGTAATTTCAGCACTCAGGAGGTTGAGACATGAAGGTTGTAAGTACCCAGACTAACCTGGGCTACTTTGTCTCAAGGGGGAAAAAAGCCAAATGTCTATCTCAAGGGGAGGTGTTTAGATGGAAGAAGAGGCGATCCCCTGAGGCCCCTGCTGGAAGCAGAGAGGGTGGAGGCATGCTGCTATGAGGATTGAGTTGAGGACATGCTTTCCAGCCTCTGGCACCTGGGCAGCAGAGCAGAGTGTCTGTCCAGGTCCACGAAGAACCCTGGTCAGGAGGGGACTCAAGTAAACCCTATCTGTACCACAGCAGTCCTCATTAATTTGTTCCTGTTATTCCGTCCGTAGCCGAGACCCCCAGAGGTCCCTGTTCAGAGAGTCTTTCCTATGGGAACACAACATCGCTTCAAACTGAGCATCGTGGGAAGTCTGACTTCCTCAGAGATTGATGATTTCTCCCCGGACGAAATTCCTGGGCAAGGATCAGGTACGATGCATCTGCCAAGGTTGTCCTAGCAACAGCTCAGCCAGTCCACCTCCCCTCCTGTGCAGGGGAGGCTGCCCGGGCCACGCCTGTCACCTTATTTCCCTGAAGCCAGGAGGCTAATGACAAACATATGTTCAATGGACGCGGATAGCTTCATGGGGCACTTACCACCTCAGCCAGTCCTCACACTGGCTCGGTGAAGTAGCAACCCTTCTCCACTGTGCAGACAAGGACCCTAACATCCACTCAGTAACTTATTTCAATGAGGTCCCAACACCCAGAGCCCTGACTGACCCCCCACCTACTTCCAGCTGCCTCCTGGTCTCTGGAAGTGGAACCCCGGGACAGCTGCCCTTGTGAGCACATGTACCTCTGCAGGACACGCCTGTGTCCTCATCTGATTCTAATATCCTGGTGCTGTGTACGTGGGGGAGCAGGCCGGGAGACTGTTTATTCCCCAGGATGCAAGCGCATGTGTGGTTCAGCTTACAAAGCCACATGTTATCTGTGAGCGACGTGAAAATTGGGCATGTCTAGCCTAGAGGGGGGAAATAAAACGGGACAGGAGCTAGGGATGCAGTCAATGGTGAGACTTGCTTGGCACACACAAGGCCCTGGTCCACAAAAAATGGACATGGTGCTTCACACTGCAGTCCCAGCTATGGGAAAGCTGAAGCGGGATCCATGAACCACTGAGCCCGGGTAAACCTATGCAGCAGAGCAAGGTGAGTCAGGGGTACATGGGTAAGAAGAGACAAGACAGTGCAGACACTGTAAATCCAAACCGCCGTCACCATCATCCGGTGGATTAGCCCACCCGTGGGGCGGCTGCATGAAGGCAGGCAGCCCCTCGAGCCCCTGGAGGACTGTCACGCACACACCAAGGCTGCAGTTCCTGATGGTGCAGGTGAAATCGCAGAATGACAAATATCCAGCAGGCATGTTGGTTGGTTTTCCTAAGTGATGCAGTGCTTGCCTTCTTCCCCTCCCATGAAGCATCCAGAAGATCAATTTGCTGGACCAACCCCTGTTCCGAAGCTCACACAGCCTCAGTTTTACCTGCATATCTTATTGCTGTTGCTTGCTCGTACGGTTGTTTTGTTTGAAACAGGGTGTTGGAGCTGGAGAGATGACCCAGCAGTTAAGAGCACACACTGACCTTCCAGAGGACCTGAGTTCAATTCCCAGCATCTACATCAGGTGGCTCACAACCACCTGTAATTCAAGTTCCAGGGAGATCTGACTCCTCTGGTCTCTGTGGGCACCTACACTCATGTGCACAGACCCATACACATAATACAAGGTAATAAAATAAAAAAGCAGGCTCTCACAGAGTCCAGTATGGCCTCAGACTCCTTGTGTGTTTAAGACTGGCCTTGAATTCCTGATCCCCCTGCCTCCAGGTCCCAAGTACTAGGATTGCAGTTATGCACCCCCATGCCAGGCCTTGACTGTGTATTTTATTTGCTTCGTGTATTCACTGGTGATCTGATGAGTATCTGCTGTGTTCCAGTTACCTCTCTAAGCATCAGAGCACATTAGATAAAATCATCTGCTCAACAGCCAGTGTGTTAGTCTACACCTTTAATCTCCACAGTGCTTGGGAGGCAGAGGTAGGCAGATCTCTGTGAGTTCAAGGCTAGCCTGGTCTATATGATGAGTTCTAGGCCAGCCAGGGCTACATAGTGAGACCCTGTGTCAAAATAAATAAATAATCACACACAATGGAAGACATAAAATGGGTCTCTGTGACCTAGTTTATAATTTCATTTCTTTTTCAATCTTTTTAACTGGTTTCTTTTTTAATTTATGTGTATAAATGTGTGTCTGTGGGTATAGGTCTCACGAGTGCAGTACTCATGGAGGCCAGAAGAGGGCAGTGGATCCTTTGGAGCTGGAGTTAGAGATGGATGTAAACGGCCTGACATAGTGCTGGGAACCAAACTTGTGTCCTCTGGAAGAGCAGCAAGCATTTTTAACCTCTAAGTCATCTCCCTATTCTTTTTTTTCTTTTTTTTTAACTCAAAAGCCCCACAGTAAGGCGCCCTCCTTCCTTCCCATTCCTCACATGTAAGCTGCTGTGTCATCCACTGCTGGAGCGTGGCTCGTTCTATGGAATGCCTCGAATCAGCGATGGTTGATACCAGGGTTAAGCCTGAGAACTCTGCACTGGAAGGCTCTCCTTTCTATTTTCAATACGTCCTGTGAGGGTGGGACCTTGATGTCCACTCCCCCAGAACACAGCAATCAAGCCTCAGTGGCTCTTGCTGTCTCTCCTGGACTGTTATTACAGCGCAACCCCCACCTGGCCCCCGGGAAGAAACCCGGATACAGTTTCAAGACCATGTCCGGCCCCTCAGCCCTGAGGAAGAGACCCTGATGGAAAGAGCAGCGTCCGAAGGGAGTGAAGAGGCAGATGACGAGGGCTCCCAACTGGTGGTTCTGGACCCAGACCATGTAAGAACATGTCCTCGGGTTTTGCTTTTGCCTTGTGCATGGGGGACATCACCTGGACCCTCTTCTGCATCCGCCTGCCCACCCTCCCACCCAATGCTGTTTGCCCTCCTGGGCTCGCTGTGCGTTGGTTAGGCCTCCTACTTTGTTTCCCGGCTGTCTTGGTTCATTTTCTGTTCCTGAGAGAAACACCATGATAAAATCAACCTGGGGAGGAATGGGTTTATTTCTGCTGACCGTCATAGTCCAGGATGAAAGGAAACTGGCACAGGAACTCAAGGCAGGAACCAGGAGGCAGGGACTGGGCAGAGGCCATGGAGCAGTGCTCCTTACTGGCTTGCTCACCATGGCTTGCTCAGTTTCTTTTCTTTCTTTCTTTCTCTCTTTCTTTCTTTTTCTTTTTCTTTCTTTTTTTTTTTGTTGTTGTTTTTTCGAGACAGGGTTTCTCTGTGTAGTTTTGGTGCCTGTTCTGGATCTCACTCTGTAGACCAGGCTGGCCTCAAACTCACAGAGATCCGCCTGCCTCTGCCTCCTGAGTGCTGGGATTAAAGGCTTGCGCCACCACCGCCCGGCTTCAGTTTTCTTTCTTAAACACCCCAGAACCAGCTGCTCAGGGGTGGCACCGTTCCCTGTGGGCTGAGCCCTCCCACATCAATCACTGATCAAGAAAAAGTCCCCAGGCTTGCGTACAGGCCAGTCTGATGGGGACATTTGCTCAATTAAGGTTCCCTCTTCTCAGATGGCTAGCATGTGTCAAATTGACAAAAAAACAACCAGGGTACCGCCCTTGACTCTACTGCATTTTGTTTGTTTCTTTGTTTTTGTGTGTTTGTTTGTTTGTTTGTTGAGGACTGACTGTCCTTTGTAAGGAGTCTGGACGCTATAGGACATTGATCCAAATCTTTGGCCTCTACCCACTTCTTTGTCCTGACAACCAAAAAGACATCCAGACTATGCAGGATGCTGGAAGGAGGCAGAGGTCACATCACTTCCTCTTAACTTGTTACCTTAACTGTGGCAATCACACCGAGGGTCCTTGTCCCAGACCCGCAACACGAGAGAAGGGCAGATTTGATTTGAGTGCCACATTTGGAGAGCGGCAGTGCTCCGGGGAGCTCAGAAGGAGCCCAGGTCGCACTTGGCAAATCCTCTGAGCCCCATTTGACACTGTGATGGCTGCTGCTTATCACCCCTACTGTCCCCTGGTCAGTCTGGACTGACCGCCCGCCCCCCCAGCAGCTCACCAGCCCTTCAGCCAAATCTCTGCAGTGTCTGGCATGGCATGGGCCAGGAAGTGCCCGGAACTTGTGACTTCCACTGTAAGAGCCTGCGTTGAGAAATCATTTATGTCTGCCCATACCACCCCCACCCCCGACCCTTCCATTCCCACCCCCACAGAGAGAGAGAGAGAGAGAGAGAGAGAGAGAGAGAGAGAGAGAGAGAGAGAGCCAGTGCTAGCCAGCCACTGGACCCCTAGGTGGAGCACTGCTTAGGGCATTGAGAGTGACAAGCTGCTTGTGGTTTTCTCTTGTCTTAGCCCCTGATGATCAGATTCCAGGAGGCCCTGAAGAGCTACCTCAACCGGCAGATGGACAAACTGAGACTGGACATCCAAGAGCTGGTGCGTATGGGTTCCTGTCTTCCTCCCAGCCTGGTGGGCACCCATGGACCTTCCTCAACCCTCTTTCTTTCTCTGGTACAGGATGTGGCCACCAAGCAAACCCGAGTCCAGAGGCAGGAGCTGGGCGTGAACCTCTACGGAGTCCAGCAGCACCTGGCCCGCCTGCAGATGCAGCTGGAGAAGAGTCATGACCGGCACTCGCTGGCTGCGTGTGAGAGGAGGCGGAAGGAGGAGGAGCTCCAGGCCGCCCGGGCCCTCTACATCAAGACCTGCGCAGCTGCCAACGAGGAGCGAAGGAAATGTAAGGCGTCCCGTGCACCCCGAGACCCAGGGCCACCCCTCCCATGGCTGTCCCCTAAGTGTGTGTTCACGTTTTGTCGAAGACACCAGCAAAGCAATTACATGTCTAGGAAGGGTTCCCACCGTTTTTAGGAAAGGAAGACCCAGCAGTGCCACAAAAGGCCCCTCACTGGGTAGAGCAGCAAAGGCTGAGCCTAATGGGTCAGGTGTAGAGACTCGAACACGCAAGTGTGGAGGTGCTGTGGCGGTCCAAAAGATGAATCCAGAGCATGCAGAACAGGTGTGTGGAGCTCAGAGGTGGGAGAGGCCATGCTGCTGGCCCAAGAGGGACCAGGGCAAAGCCCCAAACCCAACAGCAGCAGCCAAAGGGTCTGGGGGACAGCTGAGCAGGAAACCAGGTAGCTTGGGATTCCATGAATGGGCGGGGGGGGGGGCTGTGCATGTCATATGCAGTGTCCCCACTGAAGGCTCACACCGCCCTCACCGAGTAGACAACAGAGGATGTAGTGGACGGTGAGCTGTGACCCTCTGAGGCGCCAGTAGTTAGTTCTTCATTCTTGGTGTATTTTGATGTTTCCAACTTTCTTTGTCAGCTCTGTTGCTAAAGTAATAGCAAAATGTCCTGAAGGTAAAGGGGAGAAAGCAGGTGCTGTGCCGGGTGTCTGTCCCAGACGATGTCTTTTGAACCCTGAGGGATGCAGGTAGGGAATCCGGGTTTCTGTTAGGAAGTTTCTATAACAGAATCCCACTGGGGCACTGGTAACAAACAGTATCTTGCTGTTTGTTTTTTTTATTTTTGGAGTCAGTGTGTCATGTAGCCCAGGCTGGCCTTGAACTCCTGATCCTACTGCTTCTACCTCTGTGCTGGTCTCACATGTGTGTGCCACTTCACCTGGTGTATGTAACGCTGGGGATCAAACCCAGGGCCTTCATGCATACCAGGAGAGCATTCTACCAACCATCTGTCACACGATTCTGGAGAACAAGATGTCCAGTATGGAGGGACCAACATATGTCTCGTGATACAGCATCTAATGGCTGAAGGGCGGAGAGGAGAGAGAACAGGAGAAAGGCACGCAGGCTCACATCCTCTGGCACGCTCGGCTGATCCACCACAGCCCGGGTGGAGCTGTGTGAACTGGGCACGTCCCATCTGCCCCCAGCCCCCTGCACTGCTGCACTGGGCATCAGGTTCCCAGCAATTGTCGCTTGGGGGTGTCTTCAACCCATAGTGTTTATCAAGAACCTCTCCCTGCTTACCCTAAGCACCTCCAAATCAAAACAACCAAGACAGAACATGGCATTTAAACTCAAGGCCCCACTTGCCATCACCGTAGACCCTGGCGCATGCTGAAGGCACACATTGCCTGCCCAGCCCTGCCACACACCTGCCGTGAGGCCCCGTAGCCATGGAGCCAGAAGCCTCATGCTGCCAGGCTCCCGTCTGCCACGGCTCACAGTGTAAACGGGCTTCTCTCCCTTGAAAAGCTCCCTGAAGGGCTGGGCCACCACTTTTTCTTCCTGTTGCTATAGTAAACTGTAAAGTAACGCTGAGGGGCAAAGCCAGGGGAACCATGCAAGAATTCTGCCCACTGTGCTTTTACGACACAAGGTACTCTCTTCACTTTCATGAGCCAGCCAACGAAAGACAGACACCCCAGGAGAGAAGCAAGCTCCCCGGAGAAGGAAAATGGGTACCTGGCAGTTAAACTATGAAACCAATTTATGTTCACTAATACTCGAAGGAATGAAAATTTAGAAGAATAATTGAAATATTGACTTGGTCACTCACCTGGCAAAGACAAGTTGACCTTGGCGTGCTTAGGGAAGCGTGCTTGCTTCTTCCTTGCTTGCTCGGGTGTGAAGGGGGTAGCCTGCTTCAGCTGCCGCGCTGAGTTCCAGGACGAGGAGGCTGCTTCATCCACAGACGTTTACCTCCGGGCAGGGTGGTCGGGACTGTGTCCTCCCAGGCCCCTCTCTCCAGGGTTGGGCAGAGTTTTCTCTCCATGTTCCCGTGTGGTGTTCCTGTGTCCTGATCTCCTCTTCAGACAAGCCTAGACCACCATAGAGGCCACACTTAGTCCTGATAGCCTCTCTAAAGACCTTGTGCTCAGACGAAGCCACATTACGAGGCGTGGTCAGGTGGCACCTGCCCCCAGGTCACGTGTGCCCTGTCTCCACCCACCATTTTCACTTCATGAACTCATAGCTGAGGGCTGAAACAGCCAGGCTCACTGAACAGAAACTGCCCCCAGATAAATCAGAGGAGAAAAGACAGGAGAGAAGAGTGGGAACCCAGGGAACTCTGAGCTCCTTCAAGCGGGCAGAAGACAGACAGGGAGAACAGAAGAAACACTAAAGGTGTCACGGTGAAAATCTCCCACGCCGTGCTGACGGTGGTGACCCCACGGGTTCAACAAAAGTGAAACCCCAGATGCAGGAGGAAAACTGCACCAGGTTCTCCGCAGGCAAATGACTGAAACCCACAACAAAGAAAACACCAGCAGCTAGAGGAGGAGGCATCCGACTGTGCCGAGAGTGGCAAATGTTCTTACTTTTAAAAAGATTTATTTCTATTTTATGAGTATGGGTGGTTTGGTTTTGTTTTGAGACAGGATCTTACTGTGTAGCCCTGGCTGGCCTAGGACTTATTATGTAGACCTGGATGGCCTCAATTAGTGGAACTCTGCCTGCCTCTGCCTCTGCCTCCTGCAAGTGCACTGTGCCTGCCTTGTGTATGCATGTTTTACCTGCATGTATGTGTGTGCATGCACCATGTGCATACCTGGGACCCATAGAAATGAGAAAAGGATATTGGGTTCCCCTGGAACTGGAGTTACGGGGAGTTGTGACCTGCCACGTTGGTGCTGGGAACTGAACCCAGGTCCTCTGCAAGAGCACTAAGTGCTCTTAACCGCTGATAAATTTTATGTATTTATCAGTGGTTATTTATTTATACATTTTTATAACCGCTGATATTTACTTACTTGTTTTTGCAGAGCTGCAGGTGGAACCTAGGGCCCTAAACATGCTGAGCAGGTGCTTACCACCGAGCTAATCCCCAGCCGGAGCAAACAAATGTGGACTGAAGTGTAGCTTCCTCAGTACGTGGTCATTCCGGCCTCACACAGTCCCCTTGACTTTTGCTAAGGGGATCCTTAGCAAGGCACTGTGGCTTTGCACTTCCTCCTGGAGGCCCTGCCCGAGATGCAGCCTCCCCCTTGCAGCAGCACCCCCGTGGGTCTGTGTGCGTGGGCTTCTGTGGAGCTCAACCTGCGTGCTGTGCCCAGGGTGCCTCCCTTTTAACTGGTGAGAAACCTGTGCGATGGCCTTGTCCAACACCATTCTCTGAATGTGCCAGGAGATGGGCGTGTGGTGATTTGTGGGTATGGAATGTGTGTATATAAATAGATACACATACTTTTCTGAGATATGGTCTCTCTATGTTGCTCTGGCTGGCCCAGAACTCGTGGCCAGCCTCTGCTTCCTGAGTGCTGGGATTGTAGACCTACCTGCACTACCACATTTGATTGCTTCTGTGTTCTTGCTCCTTTTTGCCCTTCAATTGTATTAGAAATTCTTCTGCAGCAGAGTGTAGGTCTTTGTAGTTTATAGGTTATGCTGGGGCTGGGAATAGAGCTCAGTGGGTGAGGTGCTGTCTCTCCAAGCCTGAGGATCTGAGTCTGGATGTCAGGTACCCACCTAGAGGTTGGGTACAGTTGGGTCCACTTGTAGTACTGGGAGAGGGATCCAGGAAGATCTGAGGGCTTGCTAGTCATCTCGCCAAATCAGGCGGCTCCAGATTCTGTGAGAGATCTTGTTAAACAATAAGGTGGGGACTGAGAGATGGCTCAGCAGTTAAGAGCACTGGCTGCTCTTGCAAAGGACCCAGATTCAATTCCCAGCACCCATGTGGCAGCTCACAACTGTCTAGGAATCCAGTTCTAGGAAATCTAGTGCCCTCTTCTGGCCTAGGAGGGCACCAGGCATGTAGATGGTATACACACACACAGAGAAACAGACACAGAGACAGAGAGATACATGCAGGCATAGCATCCGTACACATAAAATAAGAAGAAGAAAAAATTAAAAAACCAATAAGATAGAGAGTGACAGAGAAAGACAACTGGCCTCCATCTCTAGGTTCTACACAAGTGAACACATGGGCACACACACACACACACACACACACACACACACACACGCACGCACGCACACACGGTCCCCAGTGTAGATACGGTAGCATATGCCTGTAATCGTAGCACTGGGAATTTGGTGGAGGCAGGAGGACCAGTAGTTTGAGGCCAGCCTGGGATATAGAACAGACTCCACCTCAAAAATCACAAAGAATTTGTCTCCATCCAGGCTTGGTGTCACAATTCTTTAATCCCAACACTTGTGAGGTAGAAGCAGGCTGATCTCTGCCAGTTCCAGGCAGCCTGGTCCACAAGGCCAGTTCCAGGCAGCCAGGGTTACAAGAGTCTCCAGTTCCTTCTCAAAGGAGGGTCCAGGGAAGAGTGCTGTCCCAAGGGTCCCACGGGCAGTGCTGGACAGCCTCCCTTTCCACAGTGGCAGCCCTGCAGAAGGAGCTGGAGAGCCTGGCTCTGCACCTCTTCTACATGCAGAACATAGACCAGGACGTGCGTGATGACATCCTTGTGATGAAGCAGGTGGTGAAGAAGACCGAGACAGAGAAGATGCGTGCTGAGATAGAGAAGAAAAAGCAGGTAACCGTGAAACCATCGCCGTTCCACGGGAAGAGCTCAGTCTCGCCACACTGGCGGAGGACTGTCCTCAGCTGTGAACAGCTCCTCATGGCCACTCTCTTTTTGTCAGGATCTGTTTGTGGACCAGCTCACCGAAAGGGCGCACCAGCTGGAAGAAAACATCTCCCTGTTTTCGGCTCAGTACATGTCCCAGGCTGAGGACACTCGGATCCTAAGGAAGGCAGTGAGTGAGGTAAGAGCAGCTCCAAAGCCAGTGAGAGAGAAGCCCCCTTGTCACCTACACCTGGCCCGGCAGGTTCAACGGGACAGCACCAGCGTGTCTGTAAGCTGCTGCCACCAGCAGTGTCCACAATTACTCAGTAAACTGCTCACACATCAAAACTGGCTGGTTTTGGCCAACGGGTGGGTGGCAGGGCCTACCAGGAAGTCAGAAATGGCGTCCTCTCCCATGCCAGCAAGCTCTGGTGTGGTCCCTCAGGGGACTGAAGTCTTTGTGACGATATTCAGCACCATAGGCAGCGCTGTTCCCAGGCTGTGGCTTCTCCCCACTCTGTGTAGAAGGGAAGATGTAGAAGCCACTGGCAGCCACGCCAGTCACAGTGACCCCGTCATATCCTGGGGCCTGTGACCAGGCACAGAGGTGACACCCCACCTGAGAGTCACCGTCCACAGCCCCTAGTGCAGGGATGGCGCGGGCCGGAAGGTAGGCTGTAATGAAGGCAAGAGAGAGGATTCCCGACGGCGTTCCTCCTACGCTCTCCAGCCTGTGAGCCTAATTGTCAAGCGTGTATGTTCCAACCAAAGGTCTGAGCAAAACCCGCCATTTTTAAATCTGCACAGTGAGTCTTGGGTTTATCTGAATAATAACTCAGGGAGCCTCCAAGACTTGTTTTGGAAGGGAAGAGTCCAGCTGTCTAGTTTGACTAGAGCCAAAGGCTTCTCAAGATATGAGAAGATGTGTGTGTGTGTGTGTGTGTGTGTGTGTGTGTGTGTGTGTGTGTGTGTGTTTAAAAAAAGCCAGGCTGTGGCTAGGAGAGATAGCTGAGGCAATAAAATGCCAAGCCACTCAAGCACGTGGACTTGAATTGGATCCCCAGCACTCGTATTAAAATCTGGCCATGATGGGGCACGCTTGCAATCTCAGCGCTGGGGAGACAGAAATACGAAGATCCCTGGGGTTTTCTGATCAGACAGCTTAGCTTGATGAGTTTGTTCCAGGCCAGTGAGACATACTGCCTCAGAAAAACAGGTGGATGGCTCCCGAGGAATGACGCCTCAAGCTGACCTCTGGCCTCTACAGGAACGAACCCTGCGTGTTCTCCCTCTGGACTTCCTCCCCGACCTGTCCCACAGTCTAGTTCTGCATCCTGGTCCCCAGCACAAGGAGGCCAAATGCTCTCCTAGAGGCCCTGGGCATTCTCGACTCAAATACCTCCTCCCTGGGCAAGAACTGATCAGGGGCAGGGGTGTGGGCCCTGTGGTCTCCCCTGCCTGGGTGACCTCAGCCTCATCCATGACATCCACTAGGCCTTGCCTCAGCATTGGTGTGGAGTGGGTATCCTGTCATATTTGACAAGGTCCTCCTCCTCAGCCCCCAGCACTGAGCCCTAAAAACTGCCTGGAGACCCCATGGAAGACCCAGGCCTCTTCAAAGCCACGTCCCATTTCCTGTTGCCCCTCTGTGTATTTGTGATAAAGAAACATTAAAGGTGCCAGGTATGGTCGTGAATACCTTTAATCTCAGCAGAGGCAGGCGGACCTCTGTGAGTTCGAGGCCAGCCTGGTCTACAGAGTGAGTTCCAGGACAGCCAGGGCTACACAGAGAGACCCTGTCTCAAACAAACAGAAAAGGGAAGTTGAGGTGGAGGGGAGGCAGGCGGCAGAGTGTGGCCCCCGCCATTGGCCGTGTCTGTGTCCCACCATCTGCAGGCCACCACTGAGATTGACATCATTGCTGTGGAGAAGAAGCGTATCCTACAGCAGTGGACCACCAGCCTAGTGGGCATGAAGCACCGGAATGAGGCGTACAAGACCGTGCTGGACGCGCTCAGGTACCGCTCCGGGGATGGAGCTGCCCCACAGGTGCACTGGGGCCCCGCTGCCCACCTCCAGCCTTCAGTGCCGGGACTGGGAGAAGTCAAGTCTGCAGGCCAGGTTTCCAGGCAGGATGTCCGAAAGAGACATTTGTCTGTGGGAGACAGAGGTGTCCCTTTGATCAGCAGCTTCACTGTCTGAGCAGGAAACCCCAGCCCTTCCCCAGCCGTTCTGGGTTGTTCTGCCCTAGGGCCGCCTTCCGCCAAAACCCTGTTTTAATTCCCTTGAAAGGGAAGGCACACAGGGTGGTGCTTGGGCTGGAGACGCTTGCTGCCTTGATAACCAGAACTACCCAAGTGATGGGAATTTGGTTCTGAAGGTAGCTCACGGCTTGTTGGCTGGTCCTCTCTACCCTAGCGCCCACAGAGGCTGAGCTCTGAGGGAAAGAGTGGCTGCTGCTGGCCAACGCGGTGCCGAGTGCTGGAAAGACGGCCCAGAAGTTAAAGAGCGTGCTGGGCTTCCAGCATCTCCAAGTGCAGTCCCCGGCACACAATCGGGCAGCTCAGAACCACCTGTCACTCTGGCTCCTGGAGATTCAACACCCTCTTCTGGTTTCTTTGGAGTGTGCACACACACAAATAAAAATCATTTTTAATCTTTTAAAGAAATTATAAAAGCCAGAGGTGCTGGGCGGTGGCGGCAGCACATGTCGTTAATCCCAGCACTCGGGAGGCGGAGGCAGGTGGACCTCTGTGAATTCAAAGCCAGCCTGGTCTACAGTGCTAGTTCTAGGATGGCCAAGGCTGCACAAATAAAGGCCAGGGGTGCAGCTTAGTGTAGATGGCCTGCCTGGCATGCACAAAGCCTAGGTTCCATTCCCCACGCCGGGAACAAAAGGGCTGAGTTGTGTATGACTGCTCACTTAAAAACAAACCAACAAAAACACAAGACGTCTTTATGTGGATAATACTGGATTAAAAATATCCATTTCAGCCGGGCGGTGGTGGCGCACGCCTTTAATCCCAGCACTCGGGAGGCAGAGCCAGGTGGATCTCTGTGAGTTCGAGGCCAGCCTGGGCTACCAAGTGAGTTCCAGGAAAAGGCGCAAAGCTACACAGAGAAACCCTGTCTCAAAAAACCAAAAAAAAAAAAAAAAAAAAAAAAAAAATCCATTTCTTTTGGTTTTTGCGGCCACACGTCGTGACTGTAGGCTGCTGTGCAGGCCGAGTCTGGGCCTGTTCTGACTGCTAGGTGCTACGCAGTTCTTCCATATCATTATCAAGCCAGGACTCCAAAGAACACACATCTGTTGGCAGTGCCAGAGAGGACTGTGGCAGTCACACACCCCAGTGGCATCTCAAAGTCCCTGATGTCTTACATACTGTCACCTCTTAGGATCACACAAATTAGACTGTGGGGAGAGTATCTTGTATTTTGTGGTTTTGCTTGCTTATTTTTGAGACAGTCCCCCTCTGTAGCCAAGTCTGTCCTGGATCTCACTCTCTCGACCAGGCTGGCCTCATACTCACAGAAATCTGAGTGCTGGGGTTAAAGGTGTGTGCCACCATGCCCTGCCAGTACCCTGGATTTTAAAATATGCACTCACAGAATGTCAAGTGGAGATTTTAGCAACATATGTGCACACCTGCACGCGTACCCAGTAAATGGGCCTCTGCCTCTAGCTGTAATGCAGCCAAGGCCCCGAGAGCAGGAGGTCATCTTTTGAGAGGATCGCTCGGGCCTAGGAATCTGAGGCCAACCTGGGTGTCATACTGAGAGTCTGTTTCCAAAAATGACACCAACAAATGAAATAGTGTGAGCCTGCCTAGCGGGACACTGACTGCTGGTTGTGGCTGCGGAGGAGCTGGCTCTACATTCAGAAGATTTAAAGGAAGTCTGGCCAGGTGGTGAGTTCAAAGTCAGCCTGGTCTACACTTAGCTACAGACCAGCCAGGGCTTTGTAGTGGGGCTCTTAAAATTCTTGCTTTAAATAAGAAAGGTAAGATACTGCCCTTAGACTTCTCAGGATGAAAGGGAAGAAATCTTCACACACAAATAAAAAAATTCAACTTCTGTTAATCCAGGATATATGTGTTGGGGAGTTGCTTGTTCAGTGGTTCTGGACATGAAGCCTAGAACTTCATGCATGCTAGGCAAGTACGCTACCACTGAGCTACATCCTCAACTCTCTTTTAATTTTTAATCTATCATCTATCTATCTATCTATCTATCTATCTATCTATCTATCTATCTATCTATCTATCTATCTATCCGTATCTATCTATCTATCTATCTATCTATCTATCTATCTATCTATCTATCTATCTATCTATCATCTGTCTATCCGTATCTATCTATCTATCTATCTGTCTGTCTGTCTGTCTATCTATCTATCTATCTATCATGTATCATCTATCATCTAGCTAGTTAGCTATCTATCTATCATCTATCTATCTTTGCCGAGGCAGGCGTCATTCTGTAGACCTGACTGGCCTAAAAAGTGTGGCCATCCTGCTTCTGCCTCCTAGGTGTGGGATTATGAGTGTGTGTGCCACCACACTAGGTCACTTTTGAGACAAGGAATAATTGGGATGACCAGCCTGTACCACCCAGCCAGGCTCAGTATCTGTGTTTTTAAAACTTGAGCTTTTCTATAGTAGCATGCCATGGAGGACAAAGAAGTTTAAGTGGGACCCTACTGTTGGCCCCAGCCACACTGTGAGCTATGGACTTTGGACAGGTTACCTAATGAGCATCTAGCACAGGGCGACATCATCATGGTTAAGGAAGATGGGCACTCGAATTCCCCAGCACAATACCTGGCCCTTGGATTCATTCCTTTCTCTTCATAGTCATAACAGCAAAGAGCTGTAAACTTGGGTTCTCAGCAGTTCCCATCAGTGGTCCTGTTGACACATTGGAAGATAGTTGTCAGGGGCTGGAGAGATGTCCTGGTCAGTAAAGTGCTAGCTGTAGAAGCATGGAGACCTGAGTCCAATCTCCCGGAACCCATGTGAGACAGCCAGGTGCAAGGCTTTTGGAGACAGGGTCTCTCTGTGTAGCTCTGACTGTCCTCAGACTCACAGAGATCCACCTGCCTCTGCCTCCCAAATGCTGGGATTAAATATGTGTGCCACCACCTGACTAAACTATCTGTCTGTCTGTCTGTCTATCTACTGTATAGGGATGTTTTGCCTACATGTATGTCTGTACAATGTGCATGCAGTGTACACAGAGGCCAAAAGACAACTGATCCCCTGGAACTGGAGTCATGGATGGTCATGAGCCACCATGTGAGTGCTGGGAATCGAACCTGGGTCCTCTGGAAGGGCAGCCACTATTCTTAGCTACTGGGCCACCTCTCCAGACAAAGGTGCACACTTAAAAACCCAGAACTGGGGAGATAGAGGCAGGAAGATCTCTAGGGCTCCCTGGCCAACCAGCCTGGCCATATCACCAAGATCTGGGTTCAATGAGGACCCTGTCTCAGAAATTAAGGTGGGGCCATCAAGATGGCTCAGCAGGTAAAAGGCACCTGCTACTGAGTGTGACGACCTGAGTTCACTCCCCAAGACCCGCATGGTTGATAGAGAGAACTGGCCCCCAGAGCTGTCTTCTGACCTGCACACATGCTCTGTGGCATTCATACCTGGCCCTACACAAAAAATTAATAATCTTAATTTTTTAATTAAAAATATGAAAGCTAGCCGGGCGGTGGTGGCGCATGCCTTTAATCCCAGCACTCGGGAGGCAGAGGCAGGCGGATCTCTGTGAGTTCGAGGCCAGCCTGGTCTCCAAAGCGAGTACCAGGAAAGGCGCAAAGCTACACAGAGAAACCCTGTCTCGAAAAACCAAAAAAAAAAAAAAAAAAAAAAAAAAAAAAAATATGAAAGCTAGGTGGTGGTGGCACACGCCTTTAATCCCAGCACCCGGGAGGCAGAGGCAGGCGGATCTCTGTGAGTTCAAGGCCAGCCTGGGCTACAGAGTAAGTTCCAGGAAAGGTGCAAAGCTACACAGAGAAGCCCTGTCTCAAAAGACCAATATATATATATATTCCAGTTGTAGTGGCAAATGCTGGTTGAATATGCAAGAGCCAGAGACAGAAGGTTCACAATGTTGAGACCAGCCTGGACCACACATTTAGGCCACAGATGCGACTCAGTGGGAAAAGACACACATGTGCCATGACACACATGCATGAGTACACAACAATAAATAAATAATACACTAAGAAGTAGGGTGGAGGGGACTGGGGAAGACATCCACATTGCGTACACAAACGCACTGTACTGGTTGGATTGTGTCAATTTAACACAAACTAGAGACACCCACCTGAGAACCTCAGCTGAGGTATTGTTCCCATCAGATTAGCTCCTGGGTGTGTCTGTTTCTTGATTAACGACTGATGGGGGTGTGCCAATCCACCGTAGACCATGCCACACCTGCACAGGTGGTCGTGGGTGGTGTAAGAAAGCAGGCTGAGCAAGCCAGTAAGCAGCGTTCCTTCATGGCCTCTGCTTTAGTTCCTGCCTCCAGGCACCCATCTTGAGTTTCCCTGATGATGGACTGTACCATGTTTCCTTCCCCCCCACACCAAGTTGCTTTTGGTCAGTGTTTTACCACAGCAGCAGAAAAGCAAACTGGAAGATACACATACACAAATAAATAGCAGTTAAGAGTTGGTGCTCTGGGCTGGAGAGATGGCGCAGTGGTTAAGAGCACTGGCTGCTCTTCCAGAGGACCTGGGTTCAATTCCCAGCAACCACATGGCAGCTCACAGCTGTCTGTAACTCCACTTGCAGGGGATCCAACACCCTCACACAGACAAATGTACACATAAGTAAATAAATAAAATATTTTTTTAAAAAAGAGTTGGTGCCCAAAATTATTCCTCCATATATGGAATCCACTCAGTGAGAGTCTTCTGAGCGGATTCTCTGGTGTCCAGCCTGTGATGGGCTTTACTCTTCTGGACTTGCAGGGAGTGTGAGCATCAGATCAAGTCCATAGACGGTGAGATCGAAGCCTATAAGAGGTCCATCATGAAGGAGGAGGTGAAGAATGAGAATCTGGCCCGCCTCCTGAACCGCTCAGAGACAGAAGCCATGCTAGTACAGAAAATGACCACCCAGTGCTTAACCAAGCAAGAGGTCCTGCAGAACGAGTTCAACACCTACCAGCTCGCCCTGCAGGACACCGAGGAAATGCTGAACAAGGGCCACGTGGTGAGGCATGGCCCCCAACGGCAGGCATCTGCTCTCAGCCAGCCCATAGCAGGGTACGCAGGCACATCCTCCCCACGGCTCTTCCTTCGCAGGAACACTCAGCGGTCGTGAGCGAACTACAGGTTGCCCGCCAGGCTGTCCGTCAAGAGCAGGAGCTACGGCAAAAGATGGATGCCTCCATCATGGACAAGCTGCAGGAACATGGGACCTCCAGCAAGATGACCATGTACTTTCAACAGCTCCTTCGGAAGCTGCAGAAGGAAAATACCAACCTGGTAAGTGGCCCCTAGCTGAGTGGGCAGGGCCTGGCCTGGAGCCAGAGGCAGGTGAGCAAAGGGTCCCTGGGGTGGCCCCTCGTTACCTAGTTTCTAGCTGTCAAAGGGAGACTTCTATAATTTACTTACTTATTTATTTTTGCTTTTTTTTTTTTTTTTTTGAAGGTAGGGTCTCTATGTAGTCCTGGTTGTCCTGGGACTTGGTATGTAGATCAGGCTGGCCTTGAAACTCAGAGACATCTGCCTTTCTCGGCTCCCAAGTGCTAGGATCAAAGATGTGAGCTACCACACCCAACTCTATAATGTATTTTAATTAATTTAGTTCCTGTAATATTAGAGATTGAGCCTAGGGTCCTGCTCATGCTAGGCAAATGTTATACCACTGAAAGACCTCTTTGTCCTTCTTCTTCTCAGGTAGTCCCAGCTAGCCTCAAACTTACTACTATGTGTGTGTGTGTGTGTGTGTGTGTGTGTATGCACACATATATGTATATATATGCACACATATATGTATATATACACATACACACAAATATATATGTATATATGACCTTGAATTTATGATCCTCCTGCCTCCTCCTCTTAAATGCTAGGATTATAGGACCGGGCCACCATGTCCAGTTTATTAGGCCCTGGGGATGGAATGCAGAACTGAACAGTGGGTTGCATCCCTCCCCAGCTCCCCAAGCCTGCTTTTTCTTTTGAGACAGGGTCTCACTAGTTGCCAAGGCTGACCTAACTTATCCTGTAGCCCAGGCTAGGCTCTAACTTGTGATTGTCATGCCTTAATCTCTTGGCAGCTGGGATGACAGATCCAGCTAACACTGTCTTCTTGTTGAATGCCTGCAGAATTTGCCCAGCATGCACGAGGCCCTGGGTTCTGTCTCCAGCACCAGGGCAGGGGGCAGAAAGGAAGGAGAGAACACAGAAAGACATAATAAAAACAATAGATGCCGTAGTTCTACCGCTTGGGAAACACTTCTAGATTTCTTCCCTTCTGCACACATTTACACACACACACACACACACACACACACACACACACACACACACACACCCTCATTCACACACTCATGCTAAACATTGCACTCTTGTTAAACATCTAGTTTTAAGTTCATTTGTTTATATTTTTATTAGTTTCATTGACCTATGACACAGAGAGAAATGTGCACAGGCATTAAGTTTGGGACTCACTAAATTTTTCGTTTTACTTGACAACACCCAACACATTTGCTCTTGCTGTTCCCCATTCTTCAACAACGCAGACCTTCATATTTGCATGAGCTTCATCAGGAGATCAGGACTGATGAGTTAGGATTGATGAGTCTCTTGTTAAGAGGCTTCAGGCTGACTAGGGGGTTTTCAGCGTTTTGAGCAGCTCTGCACAGATACCCAGGTCTGCAAATGTCTACACTCTGGGGACAAGCTACTAAGCCACCACTCCTGGGCAGAAGCCACCATCCAGGAGGCCGGCTTGCCCGGGAGGCCTGCAGTGTGCCTTTGACCTCCAAAGTCTGGAGCACTGCACACCTGAAAATTCATTCTAGGGCGTTGCTTTTTCCTCAGCTACGTGGGAGACTGCCTTTGGGAAAGCAACTCACTACTTGAATATTTCTTTTTCTTGAGACTGTGTCTCACTCTGGCTGAAACTGTCCTGGCATTCACTGTGTTGTCCGTGCCGGCGTCAAACCCATGGCCATCTTCATGCCTCTGCTTCTCAAATGCTGGGGTTACGGCTGAGCCCCCACGCCCAGCTCCTTTGTTGTTGTTGTTGTTTGCTTCTTCCTATGGGGGATCCCGCTAGAATCTCCGCCTTTGGTGGCCAGGGAGTGCTGTGTCAGGCTGAGGACACATCCCACAGAGGGGCTCTGTCACTGTCTCCCTGCCACCACAGTCTTAGGAAGAGGGGCAGGACCTGGCCAGGTTGCGTTTCTACCCTCAGTTGAACCAGTACAGATCCACTCCCCACATTTTCAGCTCCACTTGTGTGATCTCAGCCCAGGCTCTCTGATTCTGTCCTTCTGGGAATTTGGAGATGAGGAACATAGGGGTCCATCCAGGCTTAGAGAGGGGTGTCTCTGCAGTTAACACCTGAATCCAGCTCCCTTGAGAACCTGATCCTCCATCTGACTAGGGCCTCGGGCCCAGGCCCTGGGGGCTCAGCTGCCTTTCCTGCCACCTTGAAGGTGGCAGAGGATTGGACCTGCTACTGCTCCTGCTTCCTGTCATGGTGGCTATTTGCCAGGAGTAGGCATGGCTGTTGTCACCTGGCCTCCTGAAAGGGCAGCAGCCTTGACATTCCCACTCCGCACATGCTTTTGACCTGACCGTACAAGGAAGGGGACAAGGCTGCCTGGAAAGTCCACGCCGACGTGGCTCAAGTCCTTTCCCTGGGAGCAGGGCAGGCAGAAGAGAAGGTGGCTCGGGTGCCTTTGAGACACTAAGGAGCGAGGTGGTGTGAAGTAGACTGCCCAGTCCCATTGTTGCACAGGCTAGACCTGTCCCCTAAGGTCTTCTGTTGGCAGGCCCCCGCCCTGCCCCTTCCTAGATTGGGCATGGTCTATCCCCACCTCTTCCCACCAGAGGGCAGTAAAGAGTCTTAGGCTAACAACTACTTATTATTGTGGTTTTCCAACTGAAGTGGAGCCCTTGAAAAGGGATACTGGATACTCAAAAGCCCTGTGCACCAGTGACGGGTGGGGCAGGAAAGGGTCCCGTCTTGGAAGAGGATCAGAGGGTGGCAGTCACGATTCTGTCTAGGGCTGGTGCAGAGGGAAGCGGGGAAGGGTGTCAATGCAGGACCTCATTATAAACTCAGAAGCAGAGCTGAGGTCCCGGAGTTCCGGGGAGGCCAGGATGCTTTCCACAGGTCACAGGGGGTAGTGTCAGAGGTAGTGTATTCTGCCCAAACACAGTGTGAGAGGAAGACTATGCCATAATCTGAAAGGGGTCAGGAAACATCCTACTGCGCACCGCACAACCATTAAAAATTATATAAGAGGAGGCTAAAAGTGATGACACACGCCTTTAATCTCAGAACCTGGGGGGCAGAGGCCGGTGGATCTCTGTGGGTTTGATGCCAGCCAGCTCTATACAGTGAGACCTTATCTAAAAAAAAAATTGTTTTAATTACATAAGAATATGAGACGGGGTTGCTGGACAGATGGCTCAGAGGTTAAGAGCACTGGCTGCTCTTCCAGAGGTCCTGAGTTCAATTCCCAGCAACCACATGGTGGCTCACAACCATCTGTAATGAGATCCGGTGCCGTCTTCTGGCATACAGGCATACATGAGGCAGAACACTGTATATATAATAAATAAATAAATCTTTAAGAAAAAAAGAATATGAGACAGTATCTGTCAGGCTAAAGAGATCTGTGGCATGTGACCCCACCCCTGCTCTCCTAAGGGGTATGGAAGGGTGGGGGCCTGGGAGGGTGGGGGTATGGGAGGGTGTCCATAACATAACACTGGAGGAAGGGTAGGCTTCCAGGTGGTCTGGTGGCTAGCTTTGTGACAGAATCACCCATGGTTCAACACTTTCTCCTCTGCACTTACACTCTGCTTGTTTACAAAGAAAACCCAGCACGGATAGCTTCTTTCTCCTTCCTCTCCTCCCTCCCTCCTCTCCCCCTCCCTCCCTCCAAGATCTTACTATATAACCCTGCCTGGCCTGGAACTCAATATTTAGACCAGGGTGGTCTCAAACTCATAGTGATCTTCCTGCCTCTACTTCCCAAGTGCTAGGATTAAAGATACGAACCAGCCTGGAGGCAGAGGCAGATGGGTTTTTGATGGGAGTTTGAAGCCAGCCTGGAAGGAAAGAAAGACATGAACAAGCCCCCCTTTTGCCCTTTTGAGAGAAAGGGGGGAAGGAGGGAGGGAGGGAGAGGGAGAGAGAGAGAGAGAGAGAGAGAGAGAGAGAGAGAGAGAGAGAATGTCTCTTGCAGCCCCTCAAACTCACTATGTAGCCCAGGCTGGCCTTGAACTCAAGATTCTCCCGCCTCGGCCTCCCATGTGCTGGGATCACACGCTTGTGCCACCACACCCAGCTTTATTTTTCGCAGGCCATCTCCATGTGTAAACAGGCCCCTTGTAGGTTCTCAAGACACAGGGCCAGTTAGCTTCCTGGTGACTGCATGCAGGGATCACTCCAGAATACATGTAGAGTGTCAAGGAAGCAGCAGTTGGGTCCATTCAAGTGGCAGAAAACGCTCACACCCATTGCCCTTCATGCCCTCAGGTAACACATCTTTCCAAACTTGACGGCGACATTGCTCAGGCCACCCTGGACATCACCAACACCAGCTGCAAAGTAGACATGCACAAGAAGACGCTGGCAGAGCTGGACAAAGAGGTGAAGCGGTTCAATGACCTCATCACCAACAGCGAGAGTGAGATCGTCCGGCGCACCATCCTCATCGAGAGGAAGCAGAGTCTCATCAACTTCTTCAACAAGCAGCTGGAGCAGATAGTGTCTGTGCTGGGGGTGAGGCACTGCCCTGGGCTCCGAGCTACGTGCCTGGGTGCTCGCAGAGAGCAGGCACCCTCCTTCCTCTCCCCATCCCACTGGTGAGGTGGCTATGTGTGCGCGCTCCAGGCTGCGGCCACCATGGCGGTCATCGTACTGTTTCTTGCACGAGACCAGAAAGGAAAGGGTCTAGGCTGGGCTGGGTGACAGCTACTCCCCACTTCTATAACCGGGACCTAAACTCCATATCATTCACGTCTGGCATGAGCCTTCTTTTGATTTTGTTGTTTGTTTTGTGGGACAGAGTGTCACTGTGTGGCCCAGGTGGCCCTAGAACTTGACATCCTGCAGCCTGGGCTTCTGAGGGCCGTGTGCTACGCACCTGGGTTCTTTTGATTTTCTTCGTGGCTTGTGAGACACAGACACACGGGTGGTGGGCTGGACTTACTGCGGCACTGGGCAAAGTGGTTTAATCATTGAGGGCTCAGTGTCTTCTTACCTGGTCACTCAGGCACCTGTAACCTAAGGACCTACCATGGGCTTCAAGTCCTCAAGTAGAGCACACTGTCAGGGAAGCCCTGTGCTGGCCATAAACCTTGATGGTCTGAGGTCAGAGGACAGTATACAGAGTCTCCTTTCGGGTCAAAGGCTGTGCCCACGAGGACCTGGGACCTCAAGGCCAGTGAAAGGAGTCTCGGGACTCCTGAGTACTGTCTGAGCCCTTGGAGTAAATGTCTTGAATTCATGATTCTCCATAGCCCACCCCAAAAGAAGGCCTGTGGGGAGCTGGCTCAGTCAGTAAAGTACTTGCTTCATGATCATAAGGATCTGGGTTCCACCCCAGCACCCACAGTAAAAACAGAGCACGACAGTTTGTAACTCCAATCCCAGCACCGGGGAGGTGGGGACCAGAGGATCCCTGCAGCCTGCTGGCCGCTCAGTCTAACCAGTCAATAAATCCCAGATTCACCAAGAGACCCTGTCTGAGCAAAATAACACTCAACGTGGAACTCTCACCTCTGTGGCCACACGCACACGCACGCACGCGCACTTGTGCACATGCGTGTACACCACACATTAATAGTAATAAAGCAAACCTGTGGCTACCGAGACTCACGCTGCACTCTGATTAAATCCCTCCAGGGGGAAGAAGCTGGACCCCTGGAGCTGGAGATCAAAAGGCTGTCGAAGCTCTGTGAGGAGAACAACGCGGCAGTGGCGGAGGCGCAGATGGCGTGGCTGCGGCTGCAGCAGGAACTGGTCCAGGTCACACACGAACGCGAGGAGCAGCTGGTGTCCCTGGACCAACTTAACAAGGAGCTGCACATTATGGAGCAAAAGAAGCTCCGCGTAGAGAGTGAGCCCTGGGGGAGGGGCTGCCCAGCACTGAGGCTGTAAGCCTGAGGCTAGCCTGGGCTACATAGGAAAACCCTGTTTCAAAACAAAGCAAACCACGAAAATTCTAAAGCCATCTAATTTGCCGGTGCTATCCACCTGTACTCCTGAGGTCTGTGGGAGATGGGAACAAAATGCTCCTTCTGCAAGGGAACTCAGAGGTCTGTGAAACTCAGAGGAACGCAGCCAGCCTCCTCAACTCCTGCCTTTGACCTCAGAAGCACGGTGGATCCCTCCGGGTTGTCCCTGTGCTGAGAAGTGACCCTTCAGTGACCTCACCAGGGGCCTGCCAGGATGTCCTTCCTGGGTCACCACCAACATGGCACCCTACTGAGATATCCTGGGTCCCCCGGGGTCCAGATAGGAGAGCGAGTTAAATGCTGCCTGGAGATCCGGTGCCCTTGCGGCTGCCCCCTTCCCAGCGATCCCATCGCATCCTCTCACAGCCTTTGGTTACTCACAGCCAAGTGGAGTGTGCAAGGCTGCCTGGCACCAGCAGTGAATAGCACTGTGGGAAGCCAGAGCTGGCTGGAATGCAAAGCCCCTCCCACACACACACAGGGATGAGATCAGCAAAGATAGGCACATCCAGAGACCTGGCCCTGAGCCAGCCAAGGATACTGGTGGAGAAAGGGCAGAACTGTATGGGTCACATACCCCGGTGTCTTTTTTTTTCTTTTTCTTTTTTCCATCAAAATGTCAAGAACATCTTTTGTCTTTCTCCTTTTCACCCTGCCCTGAGGCCAGGTGGTGGAGGCAAAGGGCCTGCCTGCTGTCCCTAGATACCCACAGCATCTGAGCTCCGCCCACCTGCTCTCCACCTGTGCGTCTGCAGCATGAGGTCCTTCCAGGGACCAAGTTTAGGGAAACAAAGTCCGGGAAGACACCAGCCTCCTCTCCATAGAGGGGCACGTGGTTGAGTCAGACAGGGCAAGAGGGGAGCCACAGGAGGGTGTGGCTGCTGCCTGCCGCCAAGGACCTTGGCCCTCCAGCATCCCCCCACACACACACACCTGCCTGTCCTCCCACAGACAAGATTGAGCAAGAGAAGAGAGAACAGAAGGAGATCCACCGCCACATGAAGGACCTGGACAACGACCTGACCAAGCTCAACCTGCTGATGGACAAGAACCGGTGCAACTCAGACCAGCTGCAGCAAAGCAACCTGGTGGCCGAGACAGAGTTCGTGCGCACACTAAAGGTCGGCACCGCCCACTGCACACCCTGTCACTGGCCAGCTCTCTCTCTCTGGCACACACATCCTTGATTTGGGCAGATTCCCTGGAGGGGCTTGTGGAGGGATCAGAATGTTGGTCTAAGGCCTTGCCAGTCCTGAGGGACTCCAGGGGCCACAGCCCTGAGCCTTCCTCACAGCTCTCCTCGGTCCCCACAGGCTGCAGAGAAGGAGACCATCCAAATGCAAGAAAAGCTGACGCAGCTCCGTGAGGAAAAGACCACCCTCCTCAACAGCCTAGTGGAGGCAGAGTGAGTAGGGCTCAGCTGTGTGCTGGTGCTCAGTGTCACCAGGCCCGTCATGGTTCTGTGGGCATGGCCACCAAACATTGGCACCACTGGTGGGCGGGCAGCTCTGAAGGCCACTTTTGTGGACCCCAGAGAACTACAGAAAGTCACCGTCCAGATCTGTAGAATACCCCTTGGCAGCAACTACCAACCAAGCCAGTTACCTCTGGATATCAAGTGGTTTTCTTTGGGATAAACTTTATAAAATATATCTTATTTTTATGAAAAAAGGTAGTAATATATAAGCCTAACCCCAAACATTTTACACTATGACAAAGTATTGAGAGTAGAAAAGAGAAAATGGGGAGATGTCTCAGTGGATGAGGGTGCTTGCATGAGGGCCTGAGTTCAATCTCCAGCTCCTACATAAAAAACCAGGCATGGTCAAGTGTGTCCATAATCCCAGCATGATGGAGTGTGTTCTAGCTCTAGGTTCAGTGAGAGACCTGTCTCCTGAGACTACACAGATAATAGAGCAGGAAGCCAGATGTCCTATGGCTTCTGTGTGTGTGTGCACAGGTGCATACCATCCCCATACACACATTAAACATTGGGAAAGGGAAAACATGCAATAACAACTCTGCTCCATACCTGTGCGTGTGCGCATGCGTGTGTGCGCGCGCGTGCGTGTGTGCATGTGCTTGTGTACTGGGGACAGAATTTAGGACCTTGCACATGCCAGGCATGTACTCTACCACTAAGCCCTACCCCAGCTCCCCAATCTCATCACAAGAGACTGCTACATAGATATATTTCTTTCTTGTTTTGTTTGTAGCAAAACCATTCCCTTTGAGGCATTGTTATGGTGTCTTTGCACAGCTTTGCACACACATATACCTCTCCCATGGAAACCGTTTGTAGGCACCGTGAGGGGGCCCCTTGATTGACAGGAGCGCTCTAGAAGGGATAATGTGTTTCTTGCCATTTGACAAGATCTGTACATTAATACACACACACACACACACACACACACACACACACACACACACACACACACACACACGGTGGCTTTGGGGCATGTGTTCTGGGTTACATTTGGACAGCTTCCTGCCAGAACTGTTTGACCTTTTGACTTTCTTATCCAACTTTTTCCAATCACATGTACATTCTCAGTTCCTAAGGCATACATCCCTGCTGCCTCCCCATCTCTCTCTCTTTTAAGGATGTCTCTGAAACTAGAGTTACATACAGTCAGTAGTGAACCGCCACATGGGTGCCGGGAACTGGACCCAGGCCCTCTGCAAGGGCAGCCTGTGTTCTTAGCTGCTCCTTGATACGGGGCCGTCTCTCCAGCCGCAGTCTCTCATCTCTCCCTCTTTTAATACCTGCCCTTTCCTCCTCCTTCTCTCTCTTCCCTTTTTTCCTCTCCTCCCCACCTGTCTCAAAGCCTGGCAAACCGTTTTGTAAGGAACCTGAGTAAAGAGTTTGTGGCTTCGTTTGCCACAGTTCTGGGCAGAATGGGGGTGGGGGTCCTGCCACCCCAGCTCACACTGCTCTGGCTCTGACGTTGCCTCTCCTGCCTCTAAAGACACCAGATCATGCTCTGGGAGAAAAAAATCCAACTGGCAAAAGAGATGCGTGCTTCAGTGGATTCTGAGACCGGGCAGACAGAGATCCGTGCCATGAAGGCTGAGATCCACAGGATGAAGGTGAGTGTGTCAGGGAGGTGGGCACAGGTGGCGGGTATGCTGCAGATCGGGAACCACTGAGCCACCCTGCCAGTGGCAACAGGTGAGATCCCTGGGGAGGACCCGTTGCTGCACAGTGACTGTGTTCCACGGTCACAGGCTCTGTGTCACCACCCACCCCTCACACCAGGGTCTGCCTGACTTTTGTCTGTATTGTGCAGAGTAATCCCACACTAGCCAGGACATGTGATCGTATGCACATCACCTGATAACTTGTTTTATTGTGACTCCAAGCAGTCAAGGCTCTTTGATATTTTCAAATACTGGTTGTAAAGCCCAGTTTCCCAGCCCACTGATCTAACTGTGGAACGAGAACCTCATACGGGCTGATGTGGTGGTGCACATCTTTAATCCCAGCAGCTCGAGGCCAGCCTGGTATACACAGCAAGTTCCAGGCTAGCCAGGGTGACATAGTGAGACCCTGTCTCAAAAAGCAAAATCAACAAAAACAACTCTTTTTTTTTTTTTTTTTTTTAAGGCTCAGGGGGTGCCTCATCCCATCTCTCACGAGCAGTAGACATCACTAACGCTAAGAACACCTAAATCACAAGTGACCAACAGTTTAAGGTTCAAGACCTTAGGGATAAAAATAAGAGCAGTTAGGGGCTGGAGAGATGGCTCAGCAGTTATGGCTGCTCTTCCGGAGGTCCCAGGTTTGATTGCCAGCACCTACGTGGCCGCTCACTGTTTTCTGTAGCTCCAGCCCCAGAGACCAGATGTTCTCTTCAGGCCTCCACAGGCACCAGGAATGTACATGGGGCACAGACATGCATGCAGGGAAGACGCCCATGCACAGAAGAGGAAAATGTTAAATAAAAAACAACTAGATCAGTTAACCAAAATGACATTGCCTTTCCAATGGCATTTATTATGTAAAGGCCTCAGGCTGTTGGGCTACTCTTCAGCTCTGAGGCGTGTGCTGAGCTAGCAGGTAGCTTGGCAGTCAAGCACTTGCGTGCATGTTCAAGGCCCAGGATTTGATCCCCAGTGTGACCGATTGTCAATTTGACAGGACCCACAGTCACCTGGAGGACAGTGTCTGGGCACACCTGTGAGGTGTCGTCTAGATTCGTTTAGCGCCTGGGAGGGATTATCTGAGTTAGGCTAATTGAGGTTGCAAGAGCCACCGGAGCTGTGAGTCCCACTCTCTACAGGCTAGAGTCCTGGACTCAGTAAAGGGAGGCCAGCAGCAGCACTCATTGCTGACTGTGGATGTAGGGTGAGCAGCCGGCCCAGGCCCTGCTCCCTTCCCTGCCGTGATGGACTGGGCTGCTTAGAAGTGCAAGCCAGCCAGGCGGTGGTGGCGCACACCTTTAATCCCAGCACTCGGGAGGCAGAGGCAGGCAGATCTCTGTGAGTTCAAGGTCAGCCTGGTCTACAGAGTGAGTTCCAGGACAGCCAGAGCTACATAATGAGACCCTGTCTCAAATTTTTTTTAATTATTTATTTGTAATTGTGTCTATCTGTGTGTGCACTTGCGCGGGTGTATGTGCGCGCGCATGAGTACAGCCCAAGGCGTGCGGAAGAAGCATCAGATTCCCTGAAGCTGGAGTTACAGGCAGTTGTGAACCTCCTGGTTCCTGGGTGCTGGGGATCAATGACAGGGCCTCCTTAAGAGCAGCAAGCACTGTTTAACAACTGAGCCATCTCTCCAGCGTCCCCACCCCCAGGCTGTTTGGTAATCGATGTTGGATAAGTTAGTAGTTGGTGAGGTTCGTTCATCTGGCTGTTCACCTCTGTCTAGCTTAGCACAGAAACCTCTTACTTCCTTGGGATGTGGCCACCCAAGGCATGCCCTGTCCACAAGTCCCCATTAAATTGTGCCTCCTGTGATCCTAGCTCTGTCTGTCACTTGCCCCCTGTTCCTGGTTCCTTTTGCACTGAGTGGAGTTTTTCAGAACCAGTGAGGGTTCCCCAGAGAAGCAGACCCAACAAGGCGTGTGTACAGTCGTGCTCCATGCTGTCAGTCACACGCCTGCACACAGTGATGGCCCAGGAGAGACCTAGGAGGGCCAGCACCATCTGTCAGCCGAGATCCAAAGACTGAGAAGGGACGGGTGGTGAGCTCCAGCCCAAAACATCAGCTCCAACATGGAAAGCATGCCACCCCAGCCTTGAGGGGCTACATCTTCCACCCTCTTTCCAGGCACCCCCACTGGAGAGGGTGGGTCTTCTTGACTCAGTCGGCTAGTGCACATACTGATCTCCCCTGCAGACTCCTGGTGGATGCACCCGGCGATCTGGGCCGCCCTTAGGCCCATCAAATGGACACATGAAAGTAAATATGTTGCAATCCCCCCTCCTGGAATCTAGATTACCAAAGGTTACATGTAAATTCTCAACTTTAAGGGGGTCTGTCAGATGGCTTTTGCACATGTCACACACACACACACACACACACACACACACACACACACACACACACACACGTCATGGCCCTGCCCGTCTCTGCAGTGTGGGTGTTGTCAATCACTGACATTTATTTATTGTCCTATATATGTGTGTGTATGCTTGTCTGTGTGTGAGCATTCATGTGTGTTCATGTGTGTGCACTCCTGTGTGCTTGTATGTGTAGACTAAGTCAGAGGACATCCTCAGGAACATTGGTCACTTCCTGTGAGACAGGGTCTCCATTGGCCAGGAGCTCACCAATTAGATCACACTGGCTGGCCAGCAAGCCCCAAGTCCCCTCCCGTCACCACCCCTCCAGCACTGGGGTGAAAAGTGTGCACAGCCACACCTGACACTTATTGTGAGTTCTGAGGACCACACCCAGCGCTTCACACCTCTGAGGCAAACACTTTACTGAGCCATCTCCTGAGTCCTGCCCCCCTTTTCTATCAAATCATCTTCATCCATGCTACACGTTCATACACTTATTTAAACTAGCTACAAATCCTCGTGTGGTTCCAGAAGTCTCCTTGCACCTCCAAGGTCTATGCTCACACACCCCAGCCCTCAGCCTCCGTCTGCAGACCCTCTACCCAGCTTCTTCCAATGTCACTGCCTGTCACAACCAGTTAACCTAGTGGTGGCACAGCTAACCAGACCCCCATCTCTAGAAAGATTCTACCCGCCTCTCAACACACTTGCCGTAGAACCTGCCATCTTCCTCTCCTTCCTCTTCTCCTGCCTCTGTACTGCTTGTGAGAATATCCATTCCTCTCCCATCAGTGTGGGCTGTCTCCCAGACTCCTTGTGGCCCTCTCTGTATCCCCGACACTTCACTGGCCACTCTCACTTAAGCAGGGTCCCGCCCAGCCCCTCCATCTTGGTCCCCAGGTCAAGCACGGGCAGCTGATGAAGCAGCAAGAGAAGATGATCCATGACATGGAGCTGGCTGTGAGCCGCAGGGAGACCATCGTGACCCAGGCCGAAGGGCAGAGCAAGATAGACAAGAAGGTTGTCACCAGAACAGACTTCTACTTCCAGCAGAACGAGCTGCGAAGGAAAATCAGGGACACGCAGAAGGTACGACCTGTGTTTCCTCTTCTTCCACAACCCAGTAATATTCCAGAGGTGCGCTCCCGCCCGGGCTGCGTGTCTGCATTGGAGGTGGGACGCAGGCAAATGCCGGGGTCCACCTTTCCTCCCTGCACATGGCCAGCATGCATCTCCACCCATCCCCACGGCTGGCCCAGGGCATCTGCTCCCACTTTGTCATGCCGCCAGGACACAGAGAGTGACCACCTGCCTGCTCTGGCTCGTCCACTCAGCTCTGAGGGACACAGGAGGGCCAGCAGACACTGGACCACAGTCCGTGGAGCCCAGCCATTCCCATCTCCATTCCCCATTCCTGTGGGTTGAGGTCACTGCTGCGGTGTCACATCTGAGACAGGAGAGACAGGAGAGGAAAGACAGAGCTCTGGAACTGAGCAAACCAATCCTCCCCACACTGGTGACACACACTGCGGCTTCCTCTGGGCTGTGGGAAGGGACACATGTGTCCTATGTGCCAGGTCCTGCTTGGTGGAGAGTGGCTGTGCCTGACAGGTGTTTCCAAGCACGCTGGCCGGAGCTGCCTTCGGCCCTGCACTGGGAGTTTGTCTTGGGTCCAGCAGACTGTCCACACTGGGCACCACGCAGCATTGCAGGAGGCCACTTCCTGCTAATGGAAACAGCCTCTGAGCATCCTGGAGGAGCCATGAAAGAAACTCAATCACTAAGAGTAGGTGGGAAGACAGGCTGATGCAAATGTGACAGCTCCCTCCTCCCTAAAAGAGGAATAGACACACCACTCAAGTCCACCCCCTGGCAACCACCAGGCCAGAGCCCTGGGATGAGAGTCTCCCACAGTCCCCACTAATAGGCTTTGTGGCCTTGGACATATTTGGGACCTTTTCAAACCTTCTGGGAGAAATAAGAACAGAACCCACCTCCTGGGAAGTTAGACGGTTAAGTGTAACAGCAACCATAACTATATATGGTGCGGTGGCCTTAAGGACATCTGGGAATGCGGCCTCAGCCCCACCAGTCCCCTCGTGAGTGGGGCATATTGTCCCACCTGTCTGCCTCAGCTTACTGACGTGTGGATTCCACCTTATGGAATCATCCAGAGAATTAGACTAAGTGCCAGGATAGTCCCCATAGGAGCAGGACATATGACACACACCTATGAGCCCACCACTTACGCTGAGACAGGAGAATTGCCTCAAGTTCAAGGCCAGCTGAGGCTTTATATGAGACCCTGTATCAAAACTATAGAAATTTAAAAAGCCTCCACAGGGTGCATCCTGTACAGGAAAGGATCAGCTGAACAGAACCATTCGTGGGCTGTGACCAGAAGCTTCCAGAGTGAGGTGGCAGAGTGGCCTTTGCTACACCCGCCTGCCTCCCCTGTTCCTTCCTCAGCTTCCTGCTGTATGCCTGACCTCCCCACCTGCCCTAGACACCTTCTCAGTCCTCACCTCTGCCCTCTGTCCCACACCCCAACCAGGCATGAGTCAGCCCCACATCCCACTGGCCACATGCACCAGGCCTTCACCATCTAGCCACAAATGGGGGCCTTTTCCCTTCCCACCAACGCCCTCCCCCCAAAGTCCTGTGTCCCCAGGAAGCTCCCAAGGTTACTATTTCTTCTTCACCACTACCCAGGCCCTGAGTCAGCCACCAAACATGGCCAGTACCTTCCTTGTCACGGTAACATTACGTCCCGTGATGGCCCCAGCCCCACCCCTGAAACTGGGCTGCAAACACTTCCAGAAACGCCATGTCCCACTGGGGCTCTGCAGAGGAGTCCCCCCACACACCGTCAGCCACCCCACTCCTGCCCTCCCTGCCTCAAGGCTACCGTGCTGATCCTGGTCCCCATGTCCCTGTGCTCCTCAGGCACAGATTTGCACAGACTACGACCCCATGTCTTCTATGAAGCCACAGCCTCCCTAGTTGGCATCGTGGGCCTCAGGTCCCTGGTGTCTCATAGGCTACTAACCCCCCATATATTCTATAAGGTCTGTGGCTATTGGATTCCTCTTTGGGAATTGTAGTAGTTTGAATGAGATGTCCCCATAGTCTTGGGCATCTGAATTCTTGGTCCCCAGTCGGTGGCGCTGTTTGGGGATGTTTAGGAGGTGTGGCCTTGCTAAAGGCTTTGAGAGGTTAAAGCCTTGTAGCATTTCTAGTTCACTCTCTCTGCTTCGTGTTTGTGGTTTGGAGATGTGAGCCCTCAGCTCTCTGCTCTGTCATCATGGGCTCTGATCCCTCTGGAACTGTTAGCCCAAATAAATCCTTCCTTCTCTAAGTTGCCTTGACCATGATGTTTTATCACAACAACAGAAACATGACTAATACAGGAATCCCCACTAGAACAAGTATTCTGAGGCACATGACTAGTTCTTAACCGGGTGCCTCTATCTGCTAAGTGACGGGGATGCAGGAGTCCATCGGGTCCTATTTCTCTCCTAGGCCACAGAGGACTGCAACAAGACCATCTCAGAACTGGAAGAAACTCAAAAACTCCTGAGCAGCTCCCTTCAGGAGAAGCAGCAGACCCTGTCAGATATGCAGGGTAACACAGACGTTCTGGAGGACGAGATCAACCATCTCACAGCTCTCAAACGGCAGGTAGATATCTTGGGAGGTCTCTGGGCCTGGGGCGTCCAGGCAGAGGAGGGAGTACCCCAGGAGAAGCCTGTGTCCCAAATGAAGATCTCCCTAGGACCAGCTACCCCTTCAGCTGGTGATGATGCCACCTACTTACTGCTCATGTTTACATCTCTTGTGATTTGGTCACACCATACATTTTGATCTCCTCCTGTTATTGGCTGGGTACCATTCTGGTTGCCCGGGCAACCGAATAGAAACAAAATCCCTGGCTGTATTGAAGATTATATTCTTGGGACACGAAGATGGAAGATGTCAGGGCATCTGAGTAAAATCAAGGGGTTGAGTTTTTGAGAGAAGCAATCCAAGAAGGCCATGTAAGAAACATGCTTGAGTCAAGGCTTCAAGAGGTAGGAGCAGAGGAAGCCATTCAGGTAGGTGGGGTAGCCTGGCCAAGAGGGGCCTGCCCAGACTGTACCAAGCCTTAAGAGGAGCAGGATCTTGTCCTGGGGGACAGTATAAAGCTCTAGGGCTGAGGGTGACCTGGAATCAAGAGAATCCCTCCTGGCTCTGGGGCAGCATGGAACAGAGCATCTGTGATAGACCTGAGGGGCACAGCAAGCCTGAATCCCAGTGTCTGTCTGAGTCTGCGTGGAACTCAGAAGTTCCCCAGTGGGATTTCCGGCTGGCCTGGCTGTGGTCTGAGACTAAGAGGGTTCAGGAGTGCATCGAGCACCAGCCTGACACACAGCAGTCAGAACACTCCCCCACCCCACGGATAGATGAGCAAGGCTCCCCGTCACTCTCTCCCCCTTGAGTCCAGAGACTTGACTTTTCTCCTTTCTGCCATCCCCTCCAGTCTGGGTTCAGGACAGGAGTCCTCCTGACTTCTGGGGACTGACACAGGGTCTCTTTCCCTCCCAGAACCTTTTGGATATTGTGGCCCTGCAGACACGTGCCAAGTACCTGCAGGCTGTAATTGACGGGAAGTACGTGTTCCTACACCGCAACAGCAAGTCCCAGATGCTGGAGCGCAAGCGCCTGGACATGCGGCTGTCCCAGCTCAGTAATGTCCTCTCCCAAGTGCAGGAAGATTACCCCCATTTCCAGGACATGCTGCATAAGGTTCAACAGAAGATTGCCAGCAAGCGGGCGCCCCCAGAGCCCTCCTAGACAGCACTTGGCCCCGCACCTGCCAAGGCTGCCCGAAAGGAGATCCAGGGAATCCCCCTCATGTTCTGAAAAGCCATGTGTCCCCTAGAATGACACCCTGCTTGAGAAACACTGAACAACACTCTGCTGTTCACACCAGGTGAGCATGCCTGCTTGCAGAGGAATGACCTGGGCATAAAAATCCATTCTTTCCTGCTGGGCTTACCCATCCAGACAAAGACATTCTGTTGGCAGTTCCACAGTCTGCACCTGACACCCCTGTCACACTGTCCTGGGACAGGGCCTCGGTTTTGTGGAACACGTAATGGAGAGAGGGCCCCAAGGAAGCCAGGCACAAGGTAGACGGCTTCAGCCCTCAAATGTCTGCTCTAGCCCGTCTGAAACCCGCATTCTGGTTCCCCATCCCCACCCACAGGAAGCTCAGCCTTCTCCTGCCCCCACCTCCCGGGAAGCCTTAAAACAGGTTGAAACCCAAAGATCAAAGCCAAGGATCCCAGAGCTCCATGGAGGGCGGATGTCTATGGAGGCAGTGACCACTTCCTCCATAAAGGGCACCTGTCTCTCATCCCCCGACCCCTGACCTCTCTCTTCACCTCTGCCTCCCCTACCCTGGATTTCTGAGCACCCACTGGTTGCCTTTTTGCTTCTGTAGATGTGAAATGGAAAATGTCCTGTAGAATAATTTCAGTTTTAAACTTTACAGAAGAAAAATAAACTTTATGAAAGCTGTTTTCTGGTCAAAGGAGTAAGACATGTTCATCCTAACAATGAAATACAAAAACCACCGAGAGGCCGGGAGACCCCAGCCACTCCCACCCTGCCCACCCCGCCCACCCTGCCTGGGACACACCCACTGCCTGCCTGGGACACACCCACTGCCTGCCTGGGACACACCCACTGCCTGTCTGGCCCTCTTCTTCAGTACTTGCTGTGTATTCGTGAAGGCTGCTGTGTGTCAATCACTTGCTTGTTATAGAGTTTGTTTTCGAATACGGAGTCTGGCAGCCCTAAGAAACAGGGCTCAGCTACCTGTCGTCACAGCGGGAAGTGGAACAAATAATGGGCCACCACCCACACCAGGTCCATCTCGAGGGTCCTGATGTGAGGTTTAACTCTGAATTGGGCAGGAGGTCTATATGGCTACGCAGCCTTGGCCAAGGAGAAGTCCCATCCACCACTGACCATTGGCATTGGTCATCCCTGCGCTGTGGTCTGACCAGGGGCCTGAACTGTGTGCAGTAGCTTCCCAGGACATTCCCCCGCCCCAGCATGGGATTGGGGGGTTGGTTTTAATTTGGGGGGTCCATTGTTTCAAAAGTCTGACAGCCAGAGGGCACAAGTGCCTCTATAGTACCCTCTCCTGCAAGAGTGGCACACGGCAGGCCAGTGTCCTACCCTAGCGACATCCCTGCCTGCCAACTTTGGTTTTTGAAACAGGGTCTCACCAGGTGTCCCATGTTGGTCTCAAACCGGCAATCCTCCTGCCTCTGTCTCCTGAGATTACACGCCCGTATCACTACCCTGTGTTTATGTCTCAATATATGACCCTCACGTCAAATGCCTCCGGTCATTTAATGTTTTCACCAGCGTAGGTTTTCTGCGTGATCACGTGTTTTGTCACTTCCCTACCAAAGCTGACGGAACTTCCGGGTCTGGGCTGGTTTTCATCTCTCATGGAAGCTTTCGAGACGATGCCTTTGGGCTGGGTCTGTCTCGGCGTCAAGCATCTTCCCAGTCACCTGCGCGCTCTGTCGCCCGCAGCCACCAGGGGGCGCAGCGAGAACGCGCGCCTGGACTCCGGCGCCTCCGCAGGAGGCCGCGTCACGTGGTCCGCGCGGCCGAGCCCCGCCCACGGACCACATGACCGGCGCTCTCCAGCTGGGCTGGGGGTCTGCGGCAAGGAAGGCGATTGCGCAGGTGAGCTGGGCGTGCTGGTGAAGGCTGTGTCAGGCCCAGGCCCGAGGGCCTCCCGAGGAGCGGCCTTCTTCTGGCAGGCGGGGCCGACCGTCAGTGAGTTCCTGCTTGGGAGAATCGAGCAGAGAAACTGAGATAGGTGGGACCCCCCGACCCCCCGGCCCCCGACTCAGGCGGCCGCGGACAGTGACCTTTTAGTAACACAACAGGCTTCGGCCAGGTCCCGGATTCTAGTTCGTGCCCTCAGTGCTAGGTGGGCAAAGCTGTGTGTGTATATGTCTCTCAGGGGGAAACTGAGGCACAGAGAGACTGCGTCCGGTGTCTGAAAGCTTGGGTTTGGACTCGCCTGTGCCTGGTGGCGCTGCGGATCCAGCATCTTTCCAGAAAGCAAGCTTGGGTCTCCAGATGAGCAGTGGCGTCTTATCTTTAGCTCCTTCCCCCTTTTTTTTTTTTTTTCTCTGAATTGTGGAGCTGAAAGAACAGGCCTGAGCCGTCTGGTCTCTGTGTCTGAGACTTTGTTCTGATGTACGTGTTTCTCAGTTGTGCCCCGGGGCCTCCTTGGAAGGCCCTGGAAGATGCAGATGCCCACCCTGCCCTGTCTGAACCTGTGAGTGTCCTTGTATGCTGAATCATGGTCAGTATCACGTGTGTCTGGTTCATGCTTGGTCCCCCCAGTGGTTAACTGTCTTTCTGTTGCTAGTCTGGAGGCTCAGGTCCCTAGTAGCTTTATGGCTGCTGGGCACCCTGAAAGACCAGGGTATGATTGGAGGGTTGGAAATTGCAGCCCACCCAAGCATCCCAACTCCCACGGGAGGCTAGAGATCACTCACCGGGCTACTGATTTCATCAGTCATGCCTGCGTAAGGGAGGTCCACAGGACGAAACAGAGCTGGATGTGATCTCCAATGCCAGAAAACAGCATGTGGGAGGTGCTGGCAGGAATCCAGGGCCATAGCAGGTTTAAGGCAAGCCTGGGCTACTGGGGACCCTAGCTCAGGGTGACAGGCTTCAGAGAGCATCCCAGATGGCCCACATGTTGCAGGGACACTCCCACCTGTTCCCAACCCATTTCTTCTGTCTAGCTGTTCTTGTGTCACAGCTAAAAAAACAAAACAAAAAGCCAGTAAGGGTAAGAGAAGTGCTTTTGTGAGTTCTGTGAGATATTCCAGTGAGTTCCAAGCTTGGTAAAGGGGTCCTCGGAACCACCAGGTTGGTAGCCGGCCCATGAGAGGTACTGGTGGCAACCTGAGGCTTGTAGCTGCTGTGTAAGTGTGGTCGAGCCCCAGCTTCGAGGAGTCTACCTGACTGTAGTTCGATCAGACCTGAAAAGGTTGCAGTTCACCACACACATACACACATACACTTGTAGGTGACTGGAGAGCTGGGGACTCACTTGCAGGAGAGAGAAAATCACAGATATTATGGGTAAAAATTTAACCTTCAACCTGGAGAACCCCGACTCACTGGTGGCCACGGGTGAACCCCAAGTACTGGTCAGAATAGTCACAGCTGGCCCTTCTGCAACCAGGCCATTGTCTCCTGAGTGTGTCTGGAGACCCAGAGGCCCTCTAGTGCCTCCCACCATGCTGGGCCCTGCTGTGTCCCCACCACATCCTGAAATGAGCCTAGCTTCTGCCCAGGCCCCAGTTCCAGAAAGCCCACACTCCTCTGTGGCCAGTTGTAGCCAGAGAACCCTGTGGCCTGGGCTCTTCACCCCATTTCCTTTCTTCCTTTCCTCTCCTTGGGGTTAGACTGTGTGGCTCCCCAGCCATACTGCTCACCCCTTTTCTCTCAGAGAGGATGTCTGGATAAAGTCCTGGCTCCCTTTCCCATCTGTCTGTACAGGGCTGTGGGGCCCATGTGGGGCCTGTGTCTGCAGCAACCCCTCCGCCTCTGAGGAGTCTCGTCTCCTGCACCTGGCTTGTGCCTTCTTCACCGTTGCTGTGGAGGGAGATACTCTGGCTGCCTGTTTTCACTGGCTCTGTGTGTGGGCGCTGCTGTGAGAATGCACCCAGGGCCCTCTGACCCCCACCCACACTGACACCGGGTCCTCCTCTCCTCAGGCCTCCAGGACTGCTCATGCTGCTCCGGGCCAGCGGGCTCTCACCATGAATATGAGGAAGCCGCTCTGCTCTAACTCCCTGATTGGGGTCTGCACCCTCACCTCCTTGATTTCTGCTGTCATCGTGGGCCATCTTATGCTCCGTGACTTCATGCTGCTTCCCCAAGACCTTCATGAGTCCTCTCCAGGACTACAGAAGACTTTTAGACCTCACCACTGGGAAGGTTACAGGCCAAGGCCCCAGCACATCCAGAAGCACCCTGACCATCCTGCAGCGGTGTCCATACAGTGTGACGTGCCCCCCAACAGCCGCTTTGACTGTGCCCCAGACAAGGGCATCTCCCAGGAGCAGTGCGAGGCCCGTGGCTGCTGCTATGCCCCAGCAGGGCCGGTGTTGAAGGGGTCACTGATAGGGCAACCCTGGTGCTTCTTCCCTCCCAGTTATCCAAGCTACCGGCTAGAGAACTTGAGCTCTACAGAGACGGGGTACACAGCCACCCTGACCCGAACCAGGCCAACCTTCTTCCCAAAGGATGTGCTGAGCTTACAGCTGGATGTGCTGATGGAGACGGATAGCCGCCTCCACTTCGTGGTGGGTGTGGGCATGGTAGACCCTGGGTAGAGCTGGGTCACCAGGACGCCCTATGAGCAGACAGTCCCATGCAGAAAGAGGGGCCAGGCGGAGCAGAGAGTAGGTGTGAGGACAGGTGACTCATTTTTCCCAGGATGAGAGACAAGCCGATTCCTGGGGCTCACTGTGGGGCTCACTGGTCACCAGCCTAGCCAAGCTGGAGAGTGCTAAAACAAACCCCTTACCTCCACCTCTGACTTCCACAGCACGCGCGTGTGCGCACGCACGCACGCGCGCGCACACACAGATAAATGTAAAAAATTAAAAACTGCTCGTGGGGCCTGGTGCATAGCTCAGTGGTAGTGCATGTAGCATGTCCTTGGCATGTTCAGAGCCTGAGTTTGATCCCCAGAGTGAAAAGAAATTTTTTTGAGAAAGTGGTCATGCTTGTAGTTGCAGCATTTAGGAGACTGTAGCAAGAGAATTTCTGTGAGGGAAACGTTAGCCTCGGCTTCATAGTGAGTTCCAGGCTGGCCCAGGCTACAGAGTGAGACCTTGCCTCAAAAATAATTAACTTATTAAAAAGATAAGCCAAGGGGAAAAAATACACAAAATTATTTACTGTTTATCTGAAGTTCAAGTTTAGTGAGCGTTGTGCTTTAGGCAACCCCGGTGAGGTCTCCTTCCCTCCGGTTATATAGCTGAGTAAACTGAGGCCCATAGCTACACACAGTGTGCAGCTACCCCGGGAGGGACCCGTGCTGACTGGCTGTCCTGCAGTTGTGTCAGCAGAAGGGACTCCAGTGAGCGAAGGAGCCGTCACAGAAGGGGCACCTGCTCCATCGCTGTCTCTTCTCCTAGATCAAAGATCCCACAAATAAACGCTACGAAGTGCCCCTGGAGACCCCGCGTGTCCTGAGCCAGGCACCATCCCCACTCTATCGTGTGGAATTCTCAGAGGAGCCCTTTGGAGTGATTGTTCGCCGGAAGCTAGATGGCCGGGTGCTGTGAGTTGGGTCCCTGGAATTGTGACCCTACCCTGGGTTGACAGGGACCTGGTGGCCCCTCAGGGTCGGAGTTTCCTGAGGCAGCAAACCTGTTTGGCTCATCCCTGTCTCTGCTGTCTACCTGCCCCTGCCCTTGGCTAGTCTGTTTTCCATTGCTGTGATAAACACGTGAGCAAAGGGTTTATTTCATCTTACAGCTCTCGGGTCACACCCCATCATGCAGGAAGTCAGGGCAGGCACTCAAACAGAAGCCACGGAGGAACACCATGACTTGCTTAGCTTACTTTCTCATCCATCCCAAGACCACCAGCCCCAGGGTGGTACCAACCACAGTGTGCTGGGCCCTCCCACATCAATCAATCAAGACAGTGCTCCCACAGGATTGCGTACAGGCCAACCTGATGGAAGTATTTCCTCCATTGGGAGTCATTCCCTCTTCCCGGATGGCCCTAACTGTATCAAGTTGACAAAAACCAACCCTCAGAGCCCTCTTCCGTTTGTGGACCACCAGGCATGCATCCGTGACCTACGGTTGAGCGCTCACCCACTCTTGGGTTGGTGCTACTACATTGGGTCTCAGAGGTTCCCTCCGTGGCTTCCCAGTGAGATACATGGCAGTGTGGAGATGGCTTCATTGCTACAACAGCAGTGTTTAGCACGTCACTGTAAAGGAGACCCACCCAGGCCACAGTGGCGCCCCATGCAGGCGGCATGCACCCCCTGCAGGTGGCCTTTTGTTTATCACATTTTATATACATCTACTGTGCACTGTACTGTTAACTCACTTATCTCCGTAAATAACCTGTGTTGTCACGGCCCTCATTGTACAGACAAGAGCACAGGCCCAGGAGAGGGGCTGGCAGGGGACAGAGCTAGGCTAGGGGACAGAGTGTTCCTGCCATCAACCTCTCTTGGGATTGTGTTCGTCGAGTGCCGTGTCTCCCTGACAGGACCTCATGTCTGTGCTACTGTGTCCTCTGACCTGGGGTAACGTGGGCCCCTCGGAGCGTGCCTGCTCGGGCTTTTCCCACTGTCTTCAGGTATTGAGAGCTGCTGGTCACTATGTGGCCGTTGTCCCAGGGTTGGCCTGATGCAGAGCTGATGAGGCCACTCTGTCCCTCCTCAACCCTCCTCTGAAGGATCCATCATCCTGGGCTTGTGTGGCCTGGGATCCAAGGGTCCCTGATGTCTCCCCACAGGCTGAACACTACTGTGGCCCCCCTGTTCTTCGCTGACCAGTTCTTACAGTTGTCCACGTCCCTGCCCTCCCAGCACATCACAGGCCTCGCTGAGCACCTCAGCCCGCTCCTGCTCAGAACTGAATGGACTCGGATCACCCTCTGGAACCGGGACATGGCACCCTTGGTAAGAGATGAGCAGAGGGCAGGAGTGTGGAGGCTGGGGTCCTGGGTGCGAGATGCTGTCTCTTGTCACCCCAGCAAGGTGCCAACCTCTATGGGTCACACCCTTTCTACCTGGCGCTGGAGGACGGTGGCTTGGCTCATGGTGTCTTCCTGCTAAACAGCAATGCCATGGGTGAGTCACCAGACTGGGCCTCCTTAGTGGTCCTTCAGTGGGAGAGTTTGAGGCTCTGCCTGCTCCGGGTGCCCGTCTCAAGGGACCTTATGTGGAGAGAATCCAGTGAGCAGAGTCTTCATCCTGCTCATCCCCTCTGTACCTAAGGAGGTCTGGGGGGATTCCCCAGGCTCATCTGCTCCACATCCTTCAGGCCTCGCTAAGTTGGGCTCAGAACAGCTGCTCCTCTCCCTCCCTGCGGGCATCTTCCAGCCTTCATATTGAAGAGCTACTTACTCTGTAGGGGCTCATCTGGGGGGGGGGGGGGGCTCTTTCCTGAGCCCAAGCTACTTTCTTCCAGACGTGATCCTGCAGCCCAGCCCGGCCCTCACCTGGAGGTCAACAGGTGGGATCTTGGATGTGTATGTGTTCCTAGGCCCAGAGCCCAAGAGCGTTGTGCAGCAGTACCTGGATGTTGTCGGTAGGGCATGCCCTCTGTCCACTGACCTCAGACCCCTGGCCCCTGACCCTTGCCTCCAGTCCCTGCTCACTTGTAGTACTGGCCTGCAGGATACCCCTTCATGCCGCCATACTGGGGCCTGGGTTTCCACCTCTGCCGCTGGGGCTACTCCTCCACTGCCATCATCCGCCAGGTGGTGGAGAACATGACCAGAACGCACTTCCCCCTGGTGAGTGGGAGTCAGGGTGGGGCAGCCCCAGCTTCCGGACTGTCGATTCCCGATCTCAGCTTCAGCTCCCCTCCCACGCTGCAGGATGTACAGTGGAATGACCTGGACTACATGGACGCCCGCAGGGACTTCACCTTCAACCAGGACGGCTTTGCGGACTTCCCAGACATGGTTCACGAGCTCCACCAGGGTGGCCGGCGGTACATGATGATAGTGGTGAGCAGATCTGGGTGCAGCCCACACAATCTCCGAGTCTTTGATGGCGAAGGAATGTCTGGAGGTTTGCAGCCTTAGTGTCTGCTGGCCAGGGTCCTGGAAGTACCTGTGTCACGCTCAGGACTCTGGTCGTGAGCTGCTTGAACTGCTGTTAAGCCCAAGGCGGGGGGCCATAACAAGCTGGTACTGGGTGAAGTACCTAGATGTGGTTTGTGTGTCTCCTGGCCCTGCTTCTCTCTCAGACCAGCTCTGTCCATGTGTGAAGGAAGCAGACTTGCCTCGTGCCTGTCACCACAGCTGGAGGGGGACAGGGGCTCTCCTAGCTGTGGTCTCCTGGCCAACCCTGGCCAGAGAAATAGGGTCCAAGAAGGCCAAACAGCCACTGCCATGGGACCTCCTTCAGCAGAGGAGGCAAAGCTGTGGGAGATTTAGTATTAAGAGGACCACACCTGCCTCATCACCGCCACGAGGACAGTGAACAGCAGTTACTTGCCACGGGCAAAGTCAGTGAAGACCACACACAAGTTAGGCAACCTCTCTGCCACTGAGCTACATCCTTAACTCTCTTGCCCAGGCAGGTCTTGAACTCATAATCCTCCTGCTTTAGCTTTCCAAGCAGCTGGGATGACAGGCCTGTATCACAAGGCCAGGTGCAGATTTTTTTTGTTTTTCTTTTAAAGACATAGTCTCACCATGTAGCCCTATAAGTCACTATGTAGGCAGGGCTGGCCTCAAACTCACAGAGATCTGCCTGCCTCTGTCTCCCAAAGGCTGGAATTAAAGGCGTGCACCATCATGCCTGGTAGTTGTTTTTTTGATCTTTTTTAGTCACTATTTTAAAAAAGTAAATGGGGGCTGGAAAGATGGCTCAGCAGTTAAGAGCTCACTGTTCTTGAAGAGGACAGAGTTCAGTGCCTGGTACCATGTCAACCAGCTCACCACTGTAGTTTCGGCTCCAGGTGACACACACACACACACACACACACACACACACACACACACACACACACAATTAAAAATAATAAATTGGACATTGTGGCATACACCTTAAATCCCAGCACTGGGGAGGTAGAGGCAGGTGGACCTCTGAGTTTGAGGCCAGCCTGGTCTACAGAGCAAGATCCAGGACAGCCAGAGCTACACAGAGAAGCCCTGTCTTGAGAAACAAGACAAAACAAAACAAAAATAAAAGAAGCAAACAACGAACAGTTCTCTTAACTCTGGAAGGTCAGGGACAGGAGGATCGTGCCTCCAGACTCACCTCCAGCTCCCAGTAAGCTCGGACTGGCCAACTGTGTGCTGTTTTCGTGTGCCATCCTGTCCCTGCCTCTCCAGTTAATCCTTCTCACTGCCCACTTCTTTCCCCAGGACCCGGCCATCAGCAGTTCAGGCCCTGCTGGGAGTTACAGGCCCTATGATGAGGGTCTTCGGAGGGGCGTGTTCATCACCAATGAGACTGGGCAGCCACTGGTTGGGAAGGTAGTGTGAGGGACGGGGACTGTGATCAGGGGGACAGAGTAGCTGTCCGGGGACAGGCTCAGATTCGGAAGCCACCATGTCCAGTGGAACAGAGGGAAAGTGGGGGGTCCTCACTGGGGGGTGACGGTAACTCCTGTGAAACACCTGGGATTTCCAAAGTGGTGGGGGGCTGCTGGGGGGTGATCTCGGGCATGAGCAGGTGGGGGGACTGGTGGGGGGTGATCTCAGGCATGAGCAGGTGGGTGGCTGGGAGGGTGATCTCAGGCATGAGCAGGTGGGGAGCTGGTGGGGGGTAATCTCGGGCATGAGCTGGTGGGGGGTGATCTCGGGCATGAGCAGGTGGGGGGCTGCTGGGGGGTGATCTCAGGCATGAGCAGGTGGGGGGCTGGGGGGTGATCTCAGGCATGAGCTGGTGGGGGGTGATCTCGGGCATGAGCAGGTGGGGGGCTGGTGGGGGGTGATCTCAGGCATGAGCAGCTGGGCCTAGCTCAGGCCTAGCAAATTTCTCATGAGGCCTTGGGGGTCTCCCTTGTCCTCCTTGTCCCTGGGGGCCTTCTGGGAGTTCTGAGTCCCAACCTCCCCATCCTAAGGTGTCCCTAGCTGTGGGAAGGGCAGGCTTGGGGCTGTTTCTGATGGCGGAAGCTCCAGTGGGTTGTCCCAACTTCTTCCCAATGCTTCATCTGCTCCATGGCTTTGTGTGTAGGGCTGGCCCTTGCTCTCCCAAGGCTGAGGCCTGACAGGGCCGTGGTGCGGTATCTATGTGGGACTGGTTCTCACCTCTGGACTCTTGTTCAGGTATGGCCTGGATTCACTGTCTTCCCCGATTTCACCAACCCTGAGACCCTTGACTGGTGGCAGGACATGGTGTCTGAGTTCCATGCCCAGGTGCCCTTTGATGGAATGTGGATTGTAAGTATATCCCCATCCCTGGGTACACACCTAGTCTCTGGGCACCAACCCAACTCTACATCTTTGGCCTCTTACAGGACATGAACGAACCATCCAACTTCATTAGAGGCTCCCAGCAGGGCTGCCCTGACAATGAACTGGAGAACCCACCCTATGTGCCTGGTGAGCCCTGCTTGCCTCTCTGGTGTGGGGACAGTGCTGGAGTTAGTGGCTTGAACCGGGGAGTGCCCCTTTGTGGTTCGGAAGATGCAAAGCCCTGTCCTGGGCTGACCCCAAGGAGGTGTCAGTCTGAGCAGAGGTTGTGGGCAAAGGAGAGCACGTGGACCCCCGGAAACCAGTAACCTAGCCCTTCTCTCGCCCAGGGGTGGTTGGTGGGTCCTTGCAGGCAGCCACCCTCTGTGCCTCCAGCCGCCAGTTCCTCTCCACACACTACAATCTCCACAACCTGTACGGCTTGACGGAAGCCATCGCCTCCAACAGGTGAGGCTCTGCCCTGTGCAGCCCGCCCGCTCGCCCAGCACTCACAGTGGGGCCTGAGAGGTGAGCTAGCTCCCATCAGGGTCATGGACGGAAGGCAGAGAGGCTACCCCGACCACCCATGGGCCTGCAATGCCTGCGCATTCCTGCCCAACTGGTCACTGCTCTCCACTCCAGCTTGGAACCGGCCTCTTTGCACAGGGCGTCCTGGATGTGAAGTGGGTAGGGAATGGCACCCAGGGGACTCCATGAATCCAGCAAGGCTCAGAGTGGTGGCTCCCCTGTAGATGACAGAGTCACTGGGCCAGGGCTGACTGTGCCTAGCACACTTTGGTGGTGGTCTCTCTTCCCCATCCATTCTGTCCTTTTCCTGAACAGTAGTTCCTTCTAGCCCCGGTCCCCTCGCCACTGGCCCCTGGTGCTCTGTCCCAGCACATCGTGGGTATGTGTTACTCAGATGAACCCAGTTCTCTGTTCCCATCCCACTCAGGGCCCTAGTGAAGACTCGGGGAACACGACCCTTTGTGATCTCCCGCTCAACCTTCGCTGGCCACGGCCAGTACGCTGGCCACTGGACAGGGGATGTGTGGAGCACCTGGGAGCACCTTTCTTACTCTGTGCCAGGTGAGTACACAATGCCTGGAGGGCACTGGGGTCCAGTCTGGGGGCTGCGTGTTCTGGGCTGAGCCCCACAGATAGTATTGAGCTGGCTTGGGGACCTGTTGCCATCTCATGTGGGGCGTGAAGCCTGCTGGTCCCTACTCAGTTGTGCAAACCTGCTCGCCTGTGTCCCCTTCCTTCTCAGTGTCCCTGTGTCCAGTGTAGCAGGAATCTTAGAGAGTCTTATTAATAAAATCAAACCTGAGGCAAGTTACTGGGGTGAAATGCTGGATGGTCAGAGAGACAGAACAAGCCACAGCCAACTTCACCTCGCCAGATCCTCAGCTGGTCTTGTTTCCTCAGACTGGAAGCTTCTGTGTCCTCATCCCAATGGCTCTCAGCTGAACTGCTGCTAGAAAGCCTGAAGCTTAACCAGCTAAAAGCTTCTAGTTTCTGGTCCTCACGCCTTACATATCCTTCTGCCTTCTGCCGCCACTCCCTGGGATTAAAGGCTCACTTTCTGGGATTAAAGGCATGAGTCACCATGCTTGGCTGTTCCCAATGTGGCCTTGAACTCACAGAGATCCAGAGGGATTTCTGTCTCTGGAGTGCTAGGATTAAAGGTGTGAGTGCCACCATTTTCTAGCCTCTGTATCTAGTGGCTGTCTGTTCTCTGACCCCAGATAAATTTATTAGGATACACAATTTTTTGGGGAATACAATACCACCACAGTCCAGTTCCCCCGACCAGTGCTTGAAGAGCCCCAGAATCTCATGTCTCACAGTTGTTCCCTGGTGACCCCATCCTGAGATACAGAGACACCTGCTCTATTTGCAAAAGGGAATTTGATTTTTGTTCCAAGAACTTGGATGCCATTTGGCCCATGTTAGGTCACAGAAGTCAGGAGCCCTGGAGAACAGCCTAGGGAAGGAGGGGAGCTAGGGTACCATATGGGCAGCTAAGAGCCTTGACTAAGAGTCTAGAAACTTCTGAATTAGGGAAGACTGGCTTCTGTGTAGGTTATGTCCACAGACCTGTGAAGGATCCCAGCTAGCTGAGCTCTCAGAGGTTATCTGTCCACCTCTGCCCCGTGGGCTTAAGCTCACTCCAGACAGGCCTGGCAGGCCAGGAGCCAGACTTAGAACTGCCTTGCAGAGCTGGGGGTCTGGATTTGCTCCCTTCTCTTTGGGGCTCAGGTCTTCTGTGAGCTGAAGTACTGAGCCGAGTTCTAGCTGCTTCCAGGGTCAGGTGTGACACAGAGAAGTCTCCAGGGCCCCGAGCTGCCCATCGGCTCCCTGGCTCTAAGGAGACACCGAGAAAGCCAGTGCAGTGGAGGGAGACTGGGGGTTGGCACTGGGCTGAACATCAGGAGCCCATCCACCCCTTCGCAGTCAGGGAAACACCCAGCCTGGCTTGTCTGTTAGTGTCCTGAGGCCGCCATAGCTGAGGGCAGCGTTTGGGGAGTTAATGTAACAGGAATCTGTCCACTGACTGACTGCCCAGACCATGGATCTGCAGTCAAGGAGTGGCAGGGCCGCACTGCCTTGCACAGAGGTGTGGCTTGGTGCCCCTGCACAGCCTTGTGGACCCTTCCTGGGCACCTCACTGTGTTACTACGGGCTTCACCTCTACCCTGGCAGGGCTACCTACCAGGGGCCTTATCTTCACTGGCATTGTCCTCTTAGGAGGACATCAGCTGTGTTAGACTGGGACCACACCAACCACTTCACCTTAGCACCAATACTTGGGAAAGCTGCTGTTTCCAAATAAGGTCACCGTCACACACCCTGTGCCACCGCACACTGGGCTCTGGTCTGCTCTGCTGGCCCCAGGTGGGAAGCACAGAGGCCAGTGGACTCTTGATGGATGGTGAGGTTAAGTTGGACCCGCCCGGCAGGCCTGACTGTCCAGTCTTGGTGACTGGTGTCCCTCTGCCTCTGTACTCTCAGAAATCCTGCAGTTTAACCTGCTAGGCGTGCCCCTGGTCGGGGCGGACATCTGTGGCTTCCTGGGAAACGCATCAGAGGAGCTGTGTGTACGCTGGACCCAGTTGGGGGCCTTCTACCCCTTCATGCGGAACCACAATGACCTCAATAGCATGGTAGGAGGGGGGCGGCCTCCACCCACCCACCAAGACCCTGTCCTGACTAATCCCATACCTACTGGAGGAGCCCAGTCCATGCTGTCCTCTCCACACGGGATGGAGCCATAGGTTCTTGGGGTGGACATCTGTTGACCCCTGGCCTAGGAACCCAGGGACGCCCTGCTCTAGTGCACTTTCTCGTTGCTGTGAGAAACACACATGACCAGAAGCAGCTTGGGGCAGAAAGGGTTGATCTTTCAGTTTACAGTCCGTCATGAAGGGAAGTCAGGGCAGGAACTGAAGAAGAGACCAGGGAAGGTATTTTTTAATACATCCCAGGCCCACCTACCCAGGTGGCACCACCCATGGTGGACTGAGCCCTCCCACATCAATCTTAAGTAAGAAAATGCCCCTCCCACTTGACTATAGCCAGTATGGTGGAGGCATTTTCTCAGTTGAGGTTCCCTCTTCCCAGATGATGCCAGCTTGTGTCAAGTTGGGAAAAGCTAACCAGCACACCTCCTTTCCCTGTCTGCTCACACAGCCTCAGGAGCCGTACAGGTTCAGCGAGACTGCTCAGCAGGCCATGAGGAAGGCCTTCACTCTGCGCTACGCCCTTCTGCCCTACCTGTACACTCTCTTCCACGGTGCCCACAGCAGAGGGGACACAGTGGCCCGGCCTCTCTTCCTGGAGTGAGTCACCTGGGTCAGGGAATGACATCTTACATGTGTCCCGGGGGGGCTGACCAGAAGTCTGCTGATGCCAGGGAACCTCCTCCCGCTATGGTCAGTGTTCCCACAACCCAAGCAGGCTGCAGCTGAGTGTGACCAGAGTGCCCCTGTGCCCTCAGGCCTCCTAGACCTCAGCCCAGGGCCAGGACATCTGGAGTACGGAAAACTGGCTGGGGTACCGACCAGGCTTGCTGGCTGACAAAGCTCTGATGAGATAGTCATGAGTGAACCATTTGGGGGTGGCTTAAGCGGGGAGGATAAGCCAGAGATGCCCCGTCTGTATCCCCAGACCGGACTGTGCTCACATAGACATTACTTGTGACCTCTCCAGTGGGCAGATAGCGGAAGGTCCTTGGGTAGAAAAGGCAAGTAGCTCACTCTGCAGAAGTCAGCATCTTCCCTACCACAGACAGGTAAGTTTCAGACAGACTAGATGGCTAACTGCAGTTAGGTTGGGGAATGGCTCAGCTGGTAAAGTGCTTGCCTTACAAGCATCCCCAGTGTTCATGTTAAAAAACTGGATGTGTGACATGAGGGTGTGGTGGCGCACGCCTTTAATCTCAGCACTCGGGAGGCAGAAGCAGGCGGATCTCTGTGATTTTGAGGCCAACCTGGTGTACAGAGCGAGATCCAGGACAGGCACCAAATCTACACAGAGAAACCCTGTCTCGAAAAACAAAACAACAACAAAAAGATGGATGTGTGGCATGAGGGTGTGGTGGTGTACGCCTTTAATCTCAGCACTCGGGAGGCAGAGGCAGGAAGATTGCTGAATTCAAGGCCACCCTGGTGTACAGAGCGAGATCCAGGACAACCAAGACTACACAGAGAAACCCTGTCTCAAAAAACAAACAAAAGAATTCTTCTGGACTCTGGCACAGAGCTTGAAGTTTCTCAGAGACTGGGATTCCTGACTGTTCCTGCAGCGGAACAGCTGACGCCAGAGCTCCAGTCTCCAGACCCTCATGCCTGTCTCTCCTGTGAAGGTTCCCTGAGGATCCTAACACCTGGACTGTGGACCGCCAGCTCTTGTGGGGGTCAGCCCTGCTCATCACACCTGTGCTTGAACCTGGGAAAACTGAAGTGACTGGCTACTTCCCTGGGGGCACGTGGTACAACCTGCAGATGGTGAGTCCTGAGGTTCCTCCTACACAGAAGTGGTGGGTAGTCACAGGGTGGCCATGCCTTCCTGGCTGCCAGTGACATACTGAGTCCTTACCTGGTACCCCTAGTGTACCAGCCCTTTGCTGTAACCCCCTCTGCCAGCGGAAGCAGTGAAGACTGGAGTGGGTAGCTTCCAGGCCCCCACAGTCATCGAGGCCGGGCCAGGCATTCCCTGCTCAGTCCTACACTGAGTCCACCCCTGGGCTCACAGCTAGTTTGTCTCAACGGGGACTCTTGGACTGCCACACATAGCCTTGGGGGACAGGAGAACATGGCTCCAAGTACCAGCATGGTAGCTTGGGTGCTACCTGGGACCCTTCTGATGTGACCCTGTCCTCTAGGTACCAGTGGACGGTCTTGGCAGCCTCCCATCTCTACCATCGTCTCCTCCATCACCCCTCAGATCTGCTATCCACAGCAAGGGGGAGTGGCTGACACTTGAAGCCCCATTGGACACCATCAATGTACACCTGAGGGCAGGATACATCTTACCACTACAGGTACCCAGCCCCAGCAGCTCCAGGGCCTCGGGGAGGACTGAGCCGGGCTTCAGACAGTACTTCGGGTGGGGGCGGGGCGGGGCAGGGAGCAAGCACAGGGCACTGTCTTCCCTCATTGGAGCTCTGGCAGGGTAAACCCCTGGTAGTCATGGAGGCACAAAAGGACTTGGCCAGGGTAGTCACCAGACATCCTGGGTTACCCAACACCTGGCCAAGGCGGTCACCATAGATGTCCTGGAAGTTTCCAGGGTCCCAAGGTATGACATGTGCCCACCCTCTTCTCAGGGTCCCAGCCTCACAACCACGGAGTCCCGAAAGCAGCCCATGGCCCTGGCTGTGGCATTAACAGAAAGTGGCGAGGCCTGTGGAGAGCTGTTCTGGGATGATGGAGAGAGTCTTGGGGTTCTGGATCGTGGGGCCTACACACTGGTCACCTTCATGGCCAAGAACGTGAGTCACAGGGCCTGCTCAGGCCGGCGGGTAGAAACATGGGGGTGGGGCTGCCCTGATCTGGTGGAGGGAGGGACTGGGCCAGAGAACCCAGCGGCCACCATCCCTGAGTCAGCATGCCCTCATGTCTGCATACAGGAGGCTGTCCTGTGATGCTTAGTGAGCCCCTGTTCTGGTGGTGGGCTCACTGTCACAGTCTAAGGACACCTTTTTTTTTCTCTCCACATTACCAGAATACCATCGTGAACAAGTTGGTACACGTGACCAACGAGGGGGCTGACCTACAGCTGAGGAAGGTGACCATCTTGGGAGTGACCACAGCCCCTACACAAGTCCTTTCCAATGGTGTGCCTGTCTCCAATTTCACCTACAGCCCGGACAGCAAGGTAACAGGGCAGGCTGGGGACTGGGGTTCTTATGCCCTGGTAGGCATGGGAGAAGGGGGTGCTAAGGACCCCAGGGACTCACTTGGTCCGGCTATCATGAAACATGGGGGGAGGCAGAGGACATGTGGACCTCACTTCTTGCCATTTCTACCTTGGGGGGCAGTGACGATGAAGGCTGAGTTCCCAGTGGAGTCAGGTGCTAACCCTGAGGCACTGGCCCCTCTCCTTGGTGGGGAGGGGTGGCCTGGCGTCCGCTCATCAGATGCTTGTCTCCAGAGCATGGCTGTGGGTGGGGACTTCTTGACACTCAAGCTTTTTTCTGTCTTCCAGACCCTGGCCATCCCTGTCTCACTGCTCATGGGAGAAGAGTTTCAGATTGATTGGTCCTAGCAGACCACAGTTTAGAGGCCTCTCAGTGAGGCGATGTACAGCTTTGGATGGTGGCCTGTAAGGACCTGAGTCCTGGTCTTGACACATCTTTGAGTTTTTTCCACTATGTTGCTGCTTCTGCCCTTGAGGCACTGTGTTAGGAAAGGAGTGAGGCTTGCTCTGTCTGTCTGTCCCCAGCTGTCCGTCCCTGACACTAGAGAATGTGAAGCTCAGCATGGGGACATTGTACCTGCACCAGCAGGCCATGCAGTCACTGCAACTGTGACCCTACAAAGAGACAGAGCTGGTGATGCCGTCAGGCTCACAGGACTTGAGAAACTTACTGTGAAGTGCACTTATTTAAATAAAAAGGACATTTGGAACCAGCTCTCCCATCACCTCATGTCTTCATATCACCTCATATCACCCACATCCCCAACCAGTCATCCTCAGGTCCCCAGCATGACTCTCCTCCCCGTCACCTCAGGTCTGCTTGTCACCTCTGCAGGCACTCCCCACTGGAGTTACTGAGAACGTCCTGCTGGAGCTGATCAGGGAGGTATTGATGGAGACATGCCAGGGAAGGGCTTCCCAGAGTGGGGCCTGAGACCTTAGCCCCAGGCAGAGATCTGTCCCCAGAAATGCAGGCCCAGGCTCCCTGGCGAGTCTGGAGCGAAGGAAGGTGTTGTATGTGTCACTCACGCCAAACTTGTCACCAGGGCTGAGGGTTAGCAGGGCCAACCAAGAGCCAAAAGCGTGAGGACTCCGGGAGCCACTTACCTCACGGGGTCATCATGTCCTGGAGTCCCTTCTAGCTGGGCCACTCCGCCTTCGTGTGGAAAGAGGAACAGGGTAGTAGCTGCCCCACCCCTCCTTGGGGTACTTGACTCCTGTGGGAGTGAGCCTTTCTGCCTGTGGTTTGGATCGTTGTCCTCCACTGCATGGAGGACCTAGCTGACAGGAACAGTCAGGCTCCCAAGTATCCAGAGAAAACAAGGGAACTGGTGCCTCCCATGCAGCAGCTCCTGAAGCCCAAGTGGCCACAGGTATGCTGCCCCTGGGTCCCCACTGGTCCTCACCCAAGAGGCTGTCAGGTGGTCTGATGGAGCCATGGACTGGCCACTAATGATGTTCCCTGGCCACTGCCCGGCCGGCCGGCCCTTTAGCACATCTTGGGCTGCTGTTAAAGGGCTGATCCTACTTAGCCTGTCCTGAGCCCTGGATGAGGAGGGGAGCTTTTCTGGGACCGGGTAAGAGGTGAGGAGTGGGACTAGTCCATTGGCTGAGGCCTGAGGTCTGTATAATCATGAGACACTGTATAATCATGAGACATGGGCAACACCCGAGGTAGCTTCAGCAGTCCATCTGGAGAAGAGATGTGCAAAGCCTTCTGATGGGGAAAGGCAGCCAGGGCCTTTGCACAGCCCTTTCCTTGGCTATAGAGAGGCAGATCAAGGAGCTTGGGACAAGCAATGAGAAATCAGTCAAGAGCTGGCCTTTTGTCCATGCAGTTTACATCTTCTAGGATGTTGTGAGTTCATCTCTCATTCAGCATCTGTCTCATCCATGTTGGTATGACCTTGACTGTTGCATACTTTTCCTATTTTCTCTCATTCCAACATTACTTCCTAGAGGGAAGGTTCCAGAAGCTCCTGAAACAAGGTTCACAGGGCCTCCTGAAAAGATACGTAGCAGTAACAGCTACCAGATAGGAAACTCTCCAAACCGGCTGAACTGGCTTGCGGTCTGTAGACTGGGGACACAGCTCTCTGCATGCTGGGGTGGGCTTTTCTGTAATGCAACTGCCTTCAAGTCACCCATTGTCAGTAACCCCAATAAACTGCTGTGTCAAGCTGGACTCAGTGGAGCTTGTTGGTCTATCTCTGCTGCTCTTTGGGGTGGTGTTTGCTCCCGTCTCGGGAAGTCACACAGTACAGGGACATGCCGCCATGTTTATAGCTGGACCTTTTTATTTTTCATCTATTATGGGTCCATGTAAGTCTGACATGGATTCCAGTCCATGTCGAGAACAAAACCAGAAGGTGATACGGAACTAAGGCAAGAATGTGGTTTTTGCTGTGGTGCTTCCTATCCCAGCAGCAGTGGGGGACAGTTACCTTCCCCCCCCCCATCAGGAGCCATCATCTTCTCCCACACATGCAGTAACCCCCGCATCAGGAGCCATCATCATCTCCCACACATGCAGTAACCCCCCCATCAGGAGCCATCATCTCCCACACATGCAGTACCTCCCTCCCCCCCATCAGGAGTCATCTTCCTCTACCACACATGCAGTACCCCCCCCACATCAGGAGTCATCATCTCCCACACATGCAGTACCCCCCCCCCCATCAGGCCTCTACCACACATGCAGTACCTCCCCCCCACCAATCAGGATCCATCATCTTCTCCCACACATGCAGTACCTCCCCCCTCCCCCCATCAGAAGTCATCTTCCTCTACCACACATGCAGTACCCCCCCCCAATCAGGATCCATCATCTTCCTCTACCACACATGCAGTACCTCCCCCCCCCAATCAGGATCCATCATCTTCCTCTACCACACATGCAGTACCCCCCCCCAATCAGGATCCATCATCTTCCTCTACCACACATGCAGTAGCCCCCCCCAGGAGTCATCTTCCTCTCCCACACATGCATTTTCGGAAGGGATGCACAGACCAGTGAGGGAGTAAGGGGTGACACATGCCTAGCCAGCATCAGCCCAATCACCCTGGCACCAATGGGATGCCATGTTACAGCCAGATCACGCTCACATCGCAGGCTGCACTCACAACGGCTTGACTTTAGCAGTTGTGGAGAGCGTGTGGAGGTGCCCACGGTGATCCTCACACTACCGACTGCCCCACACCAAGGAGCTCTCACCAGGCTCACATGCCACCCATGTCTTCTCCAGCAACATCCGTTCAAATCTTCCCCTCCTATGCCGGGCCATCTAGCCCTTGCACAGTGCTGCTTTTCGGTCCCTGGCAGAACACATTTCCATAGTACCGGTGGCTTCTAGTAACACAAATCAATTCTGCCACCGGTACCTGGCTGGCCAGTGTCAGAGGCTGTTGGCAGACTGGGCTACCATTTAAGGGAGGTGTCCCCTGCCAGCTACAGTCCACCCTCATCTTCAAGGCTCCCCTCAGACCCTGCCCCGACCCGAGCACACGCAGTCAAGGCTCCTGACCTTCCCAGGACGTGAGTGGGTGGGTAAACCCCAGGGTGATGTGACAACTGCAGTGTCCACAACTTAAAGAACCACCAACAGGCTCTCCATGAACTCCAGGTGGCCACGTGACAAGCGCCTCACGTGGTCTCCGGCTTGGGCTTCACTTTTCCACTTCCGTGCCATCCGAAGACGTTTAGTCCTGACAAGTCCACGTCAGAGCTCTTCTTCTATCATCTTAAAGAAACTTTTGCCAAACCTCAAGTCATTCTTTTTCTTCTGACCTCTACAATGCATTTTGTCGTCGCTTACTTTAAACGTCTCAAGTTGGATTCTGCACAGAATGTGGAGTTAGGGGGAGAAATGGTCTGTTTGTGACCAGACCAGGAATGCTGGTGACACACAAGAAATCTGCACTCAAGTTCATGGGAAAACTTCCATGTTTAATGTAAAAGGCTTAAAGCATTGGATTATTTACATGTGAGTAAGAAAAGATGGCAGAGCCCAAGGGTCTTCCCGAGGGGCTGAGAAGACAGTTCATATAAACCTCATTCAACAGAGGCTTCTTGTTTCTAAGACGGAGCTCACAACAGGCGCTGCCATATCCAGGCCCTTGGTGTACCTGTACCAGCTTCAGATCAGGTCAGCCACTGGAGAAGAAAGGTACATTAACAATGCCACATGTCATTTCCCCACCCCTAGTAAGGAAGCCCCTCCCACAGCCACCAACAGAGCCAGCAACTTGCCATTCATGGGCATCTCGTCTATCTGGGTGGAGTAGTACTGTTCTATGTCCCTGAGGATGCGGATGTCATCATTCTTCACAAAATTGATGGCCACACCTTTGCGGCCGTATCGACCTGATCTCCCGATTCTTTAGAATAAAATATGTGTGTTAGTAAACAGTCACACAGATGAAGGCCAACAGTCTTGAGCAAAGAAGGAGGCACACACCTGTGAATGTACAGTTCTCTGTTGTTGGGCAGGTCATAGTTAATGATGAGGGACACCTGAGGGACATCCAGGCCCCTGGCCCAGACATCCGTGGAAATGAGCACTCGGCTGCAGAAAGAAAAGCCAGAAAGGTGAGAGAGAGTAGAGCAGCCTCTGTACAGTTTCAGTAGCCTGGCCAGGGACCTGAGCAATCACATCACCCACAGGCCACGGAAAACATGCTAAAATTACTTAAAACGTGGGGTCAGCCCCTCCAGGAAAACATGACTTTTGCTTAGCAAAAAATCCTATTATGAACAGGTACCTACTGATGACATCATTTTCAATTTAAGGTAATAAATCCATACCACTCCCCTACCACAGCAACTGCTCTGCCCAAGTGGTACCATCTGCCCACACGGAGGCCAGAGACATGCATGCTACCACACCAGTCCTAACATGACAGGTGTACAAGGACAGGGGGCTTGAAAACACAGTGCAAGAATACAACCACTCACACAAGGACTGCATCACTGAAACAGTGCAGTACTGACAAACTGTTACTAAGAAACCGCCGGTTTCCCTCACCTCCTGACATGGCACTAGGAAGAAGAAGACAGACTCCTGTTTCCACTGCAGGCTAAGGGAAAGGAGCAGCCCAGGGGACGCTCAAGAGCAGGTGTGTGGCCCCGCTGCCTGGAGCGTACAACTGAACCAGGAGGAAGGGAAGAGGCCAGAGACTAGATAGTCTACAGATGGCAACAGGACACGGGAAGAAATTCATGCCTAGACTCAAAGGTCAACTGCTGAAAACCGAGAAGAAAAGCAAAGCAAAGCATCCAGAGAGAAGCTGCGGGCAGAAAGCAGCCTACAGGCAGGCATTGCTTAAAAAGGCAACTGGACCGGGCACCAAGGCCTCAGAACGATGGGGCCAAGAGCGGGCGGACCGTCTCATCTGAGGCAGAAGGAAACTAACGGCCACCAGGAGAACCACCTCAGCAGCACCTCCTTCTCTCCAGGAGACGCGAGGAGAAGGAGACACTTCCAGACAGACCGAAGCAGGACTCTCACATTTGGACCAAACTAACTTGAACACATCTCAGACAAAGTTCACAGATGAGGAAAGAGAAGCAAACCTGTCTAAATGTAAATAAATTCTATCCTGTAAAGCAAAATGCCACTGTGGATTAAAAAGCACATTAATCGCCGGGCGGTGGTGGCGCACGCCTTTAATCCCAGCACTCGGGAGGCGGATCTCTGCCAGTTCAAGGCCAATCTGGTCTACAGAGCTTCCTGGTCTTTCCTGGTCTATAGAATTCCAGGACAGGCTCCAAAAGCTACACAGAGAAACCCTGTCTCGAAAAACAAACAAACAAACAAACAAAAAAAAAAGAAAGAGGGAAAAATTCACTTACAAGCTGGTTAATTTAGATGAGTACACACATGAAGTAAACTGCTCTAAATGGTCCACTTCAGACAATGACTAGCTATGCACACACCTGTAAGTCCTACACTCCAGAGGTAGAGCAGGGGTCACAAGTTCAATGCCCGCCTGAACTGCATAGACAGAGCCTGTCTCAAAATCTGAAAACCAATCAAAAAACAAAACAAACGGGGAGGGGGACGATGGGACACAACACTCACATTACTGACAAATCAAAACCAAACCGAATTCTAACTTGTTTCAAAGAACCAAGATGGAGGTATGCTCCAGAAATGCCCAGGGAAAAGCTGCCACAGGCTTCAGGACACCAAAGGTGGTTCAAGTAAGTCTCCAGAGAGAAACTACATCCCTACACAAGCCGAGGAGAGATGCCACAAGCATCCAGGAGATGGCCACTGAGATGGCTCGGTAGTTTATTTAGTAAAGGAGCTTGCTGCCAAGCCTGACAACCCGAGTTCAATCTCTGGGACCAACAAGTGGGAAGAGAAAACTGACTTCCACAAATTGGTTCCTGACCTCCGCACACATCCTACAGAACACATGCAACCCTACACACACAGCAACAAATAAACAATAATAAAAGAGAACACAGGGGCTGGGAGATGGCTCAGCGGTTGAGAGCACTGGCTACTCTTTCAGAGGACCCAGGTTCAATTCCCAGCACCCACATGGCAGCTCACCACTGTCTGTAACCCCAGTTCCAGGAGATCTGATGCTAATGCATGTTAAATAAATTATTTTTTTAAAAAAAAGAGAGAACACAGAGGATGACCTCACCTCCTCAGTGACAGAGAGAACTGAATACAAGAGGGAAGGATGTTGACAAGCTGAGGGCTACCAGCAGCTCAAGTCTAGCTGGATATATCCTGCTCAAAGACACACAACACACACTGCTGCAAAATACCCAAAGGATCACAAAGCAGACCTGAATCAAAGGCACGAATTCACAAGACCTGTTCTCTGAGCACTCTGTGACCGATCCAACACGGGTTACCAGATGAACAGAAACCAGCGTGAACAGCAATCAACCCAATAGTTAATGCCAGTTCACCACTAACCCAACAGCCCCCACAGGGCAGTGTCCAATCAGAGAGCAGTATCGCCCCCTGCACCTGGGGCAGGAAATGACATGAAAGCACTGAGGCCAGAGTCATCTGTCCTCACACAGGAGCCAAAGCTGCCAAAGGCCTACCTGGCACCTGACCGGAATTCCTTCATGATGGACTCACGCTCTTTCTGAGGCATGTCTCCGTGCATGGAGGACACAGTGAAGTTCGCTTCTCTCATTTTCTCTGTCAGCCAGTC